GAGAGTGTCAGGTGGTGAGTGGCATCTGGTGAGAGTGTCACGTGGTGAGTGACATCTGGTGAGAGTGTCACGTGGTGAGTGGCATCTGGTGAGAGTGTCAGTTGGTGAGTGGCATCTGATGAGAGTGTCACGTGGTGAGTGGCATCTGGTGAGAGTGTCAGGTGGTGAGTGGCATCTGGTGAGAGTGTCACGTGGTGAGTGACATCTGGTGAGAGTGTCACGTGGTGAGTGGCATCTGGTGAGAGTGTCAGGTGGTGAGTGGCATCTGGTGAGAGTGTCAGGTGGTGATGGCATCTGGTGAGAGTGTCGCGTGGTGAGTGACATCTGGTGAGAGTGTCAGTTGGTGAGTGGCATCTGGTGAGAGTGTCAGTTGGTGATGGCATCTGGTGAGAGTGTCAGTTGGTGAGTGACATCTGGTGAGAGTGTCAGTTGGTGAGTGGCATCTGGTGAGAGTGTCAGGTGGTGAGTGACATCTGGTGAGAGTGTCACGTGGTGAGTGACATCTGGTGAGAGTGTCAGTTGGTGAGTGGCATCTGGTGAGAGTGTCAGGTGGTGAGTGGCATCTGGTGAGAGTGTCAGTTGGTGAGTGACATCTGGTGAGAGTGTCAGTTGGTGAGTGACATCTGGTGAGAGTGTCAGTTGGTGAGTGGCATCTGGTGAGAGTGTCAGTTGGTGAGTGACATCTGGTGAGAGTGTCAGTTGGTGAGTGGCATCTGGTGAGAGTGTCACGTGGTGAGTGGCATCTGGTGAGAGTGTCAGTTGGTGAGTGGTATCTGGTGAGAGTGTCGCGTGGTGAGTGGCATCTGGTGAGAGTGTCAGTTGGTGAGTGACATCTGGTGAGAGTGTCAGGTGGTGAGTGGCATCTGGTGAGAGTGTCAGTTGGTGAGTGGCATCTGGTGAGAGTGTCAGTTGGTGAGTGACATCTGGTGAGAGTGTCACGTGGTGAGTGGCATCTGGTGAGAGTGTCAGGTGGTGAGTGGCATCTGGTGAGAGTGTCACGTGGTGAGTGGCATCTGGTGAGAGTGTCAGCTGGTCAGAAAACCAGTAAGGGGAGAAGAGGTGAAAGAACGGGACTGAACCGATAAGGAGATAACTCCGTCTGTCGGACGGTGCTGTACTCTAGAGCAGAGGTTCTCAAAGTCTGCTTCCCCAGACCGCCAGATGATCCGCGAAGGTCCTCCAGGTGGTCTGCGTGGCTGTGATCCGGGAACAATTACATTTTTTTACTAAACCTGTTGTTTCGGACTTCAATTAATATTTTACTCATGATATTTGATTAAAAACAAGTCAGGTAAACTCGTTTAACACTTGGGCTTTCGCGACCAATATCATCAATAATATAGGTTTTTTTTGGGCTGCCGCCTGATGATGCCGGTTGTAATTACTGGCAAAACGTCGTACTCAGATGGTATATGTTGTGGCTTTGCTCTCCAACACACCGGTGTGCTGTACTAGTAATTCATTGCTTTGTTCTATTTACGCCCCACACCTTACTAATTGGCTGTGTCGGGTGGTGGTGGGTTTAACGACACACAATATTTACCCTGATTAAACTACCCTAACCCTAAGATCTAAATGCACCGCACACTTCCCTAAAAAAAAAGCATAGCTGAATAAAAATACAATTAATAAAATGTATTTTACCAGGGGAGCTTTTGTGTACCTCGGAAATGTTTCGTCCGTGGGCCAAAACAAGTTTGTGAAACACCGCTCGAGTCATTTGGTTCTTTCGGTTAAGTCACGTCTAAAGATAAAATAATAAATTAAATTAAATAATAGCATACGACGTTTCGATTGCAACACAAGCAATCATCATCAGGTATAATGAAATAGCGACATAAAATCTAACCAGAAAACTATAGACAGACATATTAGCAGACAGATATCACCAAGATACATAGAGGGAGCAACACAGGAACCAGAGAGGGGTGATCATCTCTGTGGGGTGGCCTTAAATAGACAGAGGGGGGAGGAGGCAGAGAGAGGGAGGGGGTTAGGGAAAACATTTGCATATCAATGAGTGGTCCAAAAAACAAGGTTTGCTAACCTAGCAAAATATCGATATTTTGCTAGGTTATTGAATTTTAGTTTGTCCTTCTGATTTTCAGACTTGCTTGCCGTGTCATCGCACTTGCAGAACCTTGTTTTTTGGACCACTCATTGATATGCAAATGTTTTCCCTAACCCCCTCCCTCTCTCTGCCTCCTCCCCCCTCTGTCTATTTAAGGCCACCCCACAGAGATGATCACCCCTCTCTGGTTCCTGTGTTGCTCCCTCTATGTATCTTGGTGATATCTGTCTGCTAATATGTCTGTCTATAGTTTTCTGGTTAGATTTTATGTCGCTATTTCATTATACCTGATGATGATTGCTTGTGTTGCAATCGAAACGTCGTATGCTATTATTTAATTTAATTTATTATTTTATCTTTAGACGTGACTTAACCGAAAGAACCAAATAATCATTTACTGCAGTCACGAAAGTTCTAAAATTAAGATTGAACCGCTCGAGTCACCCGATTGTGCTTATCAATACAGGACAGTGGATGACCTACGCGTGACTTTCAGGATTACTTTACAGTACTCACTCTGAACCGCAGGGGTCGCTATCGTTCCGGTGGAGACCTCGCGATCACGGATCAACAACAAATGGGGGCAACGAACGCAACACGACCACTTCGCGAAGTGGAACGTGAGCAGAGCTCCGAATTTTTATTTTATTTTTCTCGTCTCTGTTTGGATAGGCGATTTGGAGAGGGCGTAGAAAATATTCGCCCATGAATTGTGTCCTGCATACAGACGACGATAGAACAACTGCATTGAAGACAGTAGTATATTCAGGGCAAAAAAAATAATAATAACAAAGCCACATTGAAGATAATGAACGCGCTTTTTCACGGTTTAAATTCTGCTCGCGTCGCTGACGTCATTCCAATCGTGCATCTTTTATACGCGCTTATTTGCACCCTTTAGATGTTTGTGCAATCTGAAACGATGTCGTGAGTCCGCAGGTGGATGCGTGGAATGAAGGGGGGTTACGCAGGTTGACATTCTGACGGTCGAGAAAAGTAAAATGAACTTGGAGAAGAGGACACGTTGACTGAAGGTCATCGATTAAGGCCGATGGCCAAATGAACAGAATAGAATCACCGCCTAGAGGACTTCGCCTCTATTCATAGTCTCAAGCCTCACCTTACCATAATAATAATAAGTATAACCCGTAAAAACAAAGTTTTTCACTATAAATCCTTTATATGCGTGGCGGCTAGAGTCATCTCGTCATCTGGCTTGAGATGGCTGCCACCTATGGGTCAGATGATTGTCTGCCAGTATTAAGCAATTGGTAATTAAATATTGAATTTGTTTTCCCTAAACAATGTAAAGTTTTCGAAATTTTTTTTCACGAACATTAATTGTCTCGCACAACGAGTCTGTGCAAAATGTCAGCTCGATTGGATCACGGGAAGTGGGTTAAAAAACGACCGAAAATTTTGCACGGTCGTAAGCAAGCAAGCAAGCACGCAAGCACGCAAGCAAGCGAGCGAACTTAATATAAAGGATTTAAAAAGTGGGCCATTCCTGACCCCCCCCTCAACCATTATATAAACGGAGTGGTATCTCCTGTAATCTCTCATTTACTTGATACAGCTGTCGGGCTGTGACGGTTCCACCTGAAGACGGAAGCTTGTGTTGCCTCCGAAACGTGGTGATTTTTATTTTATTTTACTTTTATTAATTTTAATGTTTTACCTCCGTGACTTTACCGAAAAAACCTAAGAATATGAATAGGACTTCGCCTACCATGGAGATAGAGCGATGAAATTGGCTTGAGTTGCTGGCGCTCGGCGGATTTGGTACATCGCAGGAGTGAGAATGGATGTCAGCTTGGGAAGGCCCTCACCTAAGCGGTGTGCGTAATGGCCATGGCTGTTGATCACTACCCTCATATCTTTCCCACCGTTACGGTCGAATTGCTTTCTCCAACAACTGCAACGTCTTGAATCGTGCCTGCAACGGGCGGCCGCTTCGTCTCTGCCGCGTCTCGAAGATGGATCATTGATCCTCCTGCTGTCCACACTTCCAGCTCATACATCCAAATTCAAATCGTGTACTTGAAATGCCTTTTCTCCTTGATTACCTTTCACTCGTCGATTGCAGCAATGCCTGTCAGTGATGAGTGATTTTGCCATACGGGCCAAAAGCTGTGCCAAAATGTATGATGCATTGCATGTGTTTTTGATGTAATGATTTTAGTGATTTGGCACTTGTAATTTTGTACATTAATGATGCTTTCTTTCATCGTGGTATGGTTAAGACAATGGACTTGCAACCTCGATATCATCGGTTCGATCTCCTGGACCAGGTAATTGAATGAATGGGCAAGTTTCTTAAATAACCCCTACTTCTGTCCACTCAGCTGTATAAATGGGTATACCAAAATTCGATCGATCTAGTTTGGTGGGGTAAAGTGTAGGTAGTCGAGCCTCTTGTGAAATGTGTGGCAGGTTTACATATAAAATTGGGCCAACATTTCCTCGAGGGGAGCATCTCAATAGCTCCCTGTGTAGGGCCTTAAACTATAAACTAAACTATTTTTTTAATATTTTACTAGTTAAGACCCACTGAGCTATATATTTATTTTGCAGAAGCGACCTGGCCACAACTGGTATTTTAACGAAGTGGTGTATCGTGTGTACATTTATAGAAGCCAAATACACTAAAAGCATGTTTCTAAATGTGGAGGGATAAACCGGAGGAGCTAGAGAAAAATCCACGTGATCACGGGAAGAGAACGAGTTCTGCAATCTCCAAATATACAGGTGTCGGGGTCGAAATCGAAACCCACGACCTCCTGCATACCAGGCCAGGCAGATGACATCTGGCCATCGCGGCCTTCTGACAGCAGTGGCGTGAACAAGCAATTGCAGGGCTGCACCTTAACCATTAGATTGCAAATATTTCAACATTTGATTTTAAAAAAAAAAACTGGTTTTTATTTTGAAGGTGTTTAAGACCAAGAACACTTTTAGGTTCATGAGCGTGCTGTCCGAGTCTTGTAAACATGTATTTCACAGAGATAAATTGTACATACAGTATAGTATATTGTTTTATTGTAACATAAGAATATATGGTACAGTATTCCTCGACTGGACTTGGCACTTCTTAGACAATGCTATTTTAAAACTGAAAGTTAACACTGCTTTCATCTCTTCACAATTATCAATAAAAACCGTTTTTACAAAGTTGTATTTCGAGATGCAATAACATTTGAAGTACAACTTATTATTGATGACAAGTAAGCAGCCTTACTAAATGTCGGAAAGAATCGTGCAAATTCTCGTGAACATTTTGTAAATGTTTTACATACCGCAGTACTGATTAGTAATTATACTGGTATAATGATAATCCACCGCATGTGCCAAAACGACGTGAGAAGATAACCAACACAATTAAACCCCACATTATTACATGAATATATGGGTTTCCCTATCTCCACAGCTCCATTCGCAAGCTTGTTGGCAATGGACTGCTTATCTCACCCAGAATTGAATAAAAAAAAAGTTCCTCTGCTTCACAACGGCCAAACCGAGACAAACTAAATGATTTCGCCACTCACTCCCCCGGGTCGTTTGCTTACATTCAGAAACCGCAATGTAGCCGGCAATATCACGATGGTTGTTTAGTTCCTCTCAGAATTACCAACAGGCCAACGTGTTTATCGTGCAGTGATGAAAACCTCTCCCTTTAAAACGATGTGGAAGAAAAAAAACGACAGTGTAAAAGAACCGTAACTCACTTTTTAGTAGTAACCTTTACATGCAGTGTTATAGAAACCTGAATACATGTTTTAAAAAAAACTATATTTCAGAGGGCAAAACGACAAGAGGGCCTTGTAATTACATAATTACATGGTTCCTTAAAATTGAGCCAGATTGAGGTAACCAACTTAAATACACATACAGATTAAATTATACAATAGTAAAATGCAAAGGCTCTTTTGGTGCAATTTCTGAAATGTGCCGGTAAACGTCAGGTATTAAAGTGAGCAGATTATAATCAATTACATCTGAAGCAAATGTATGAAACACAGTTTTGTAAAAACAGATTTCTTCCAGAGCTGAGCTCAAACAAATTAATCCAGTGTTCAGATAATCAATAATACAATCACAGCAGTAAGTGTGCTTTCAATAACAGGTAGAGTATCCGACAATGATCAGAATAAAAAGGAGTTCGATGTAAGCCGCAAACCAATTATGACACCGTAGCACAGCGACTGCACACAACCGCGGGTTTACCACTGGGGGAGGGCATCAGGGGGTTGTAAAAACTGACCAACACCGACAACGGCCGAACAAAGTGACAGACGAGGGGGTGGTTTGTTGTCCCACGAGCCATATTCCTCCCTCGCTTCTCCTCAGTGCAGTATTCCATTCGAGGAGCTGCTGTCAAGGTGTGCGCCGCCGCTGCGGATCGCAGACGCTCGCTTGCGCTCCCTCAGCTGCTTCTGCTCGATGATCTGCCTGCGCAGCTCGCGAACTCGCTCTTCCTTCTGCAATAGTGGCAGGGAGGAAGGGAAAATAATGGGGGGCCGGGGGGGGGGCACGTCAGTCAAAGTTTCACGAGCACTTACCGTTGGCATTTTTTATTTGCCGACTAGATCCATTAATGCACATATGCTGGCCCAGTATTTTGAGTGCCCGCTAATGAACTAAGCCAAAGTGCTTTGCTCACTTGAACGAAGAAAAAAAAATGCTCGCCTTGGCCGATGGAAAATTAACATTAGTTCGCAGCAGCATCACCATTGCCCTTGTTTGTATGAGTGTTGAACTTCTTTTGCACCGTACGAAGCCAACCGCGCTAGTCGGAGGTGCAAGGTGAGGACAACAAACTAAACACAAAAAGCAGTTTTAAAGACATGGCGAGGAACGAGTAAACCAAGGTGATCCGGTAAAGATAAAGGTCAAATAATGTCGTACGTTACGGATAGGTGGCTCAGCGGTAGAGCTCGCAATCATAAGGTTTAACTTCTGGTTGGGGGTTGATTCAGCCCATCATTCCTCGAGGGTTGATAAAAATGAGTAGAAGTTTGTGGAGAAGTGAGCAGTGTTTGTTCCCGGTATAATAATAATAATAGTACAATTTGTAACGCGTGCAAATTTGCAGACGTAGTGGCCGCAACTCAGAGGCGCGCAGCCAAGCTCAGAGTCGCTCAAAAGCATGATTGTAGAGGTGCGTTTTTAAGTGTCTCTTGAAGGAGGCGATTGAGGTGATGCTGCGAATGTGCAGAGGGATATCGTTCCAGATTGTTGGGGCTGCCACCTGCATTAGGAACGTTTAATGTTCCTAATGCAGATGAGCACCACCTTAATGCTCACTTGAGCAGGACATCATTTTGAGGGCCACATACAATGACATCTACAAAAAAAGAGCTTGTTTTGTACATTTAATGGTCCGTATAAATGTATTTCATTCGAATACATTATGACAGTAGCATATTATTAGTACACGAGTCAAACTTGGACATTGCTTAAGACTGGTGGTGGACAGCAGATGGGAACACTTGCTATCATGGTTACAAAATAGATTTTTAAAAAAACGTTTTGCAAAACAAAAACCTCTCTCTGAGCTAAGAGCAGGTTCCTATTTCTTTAACGCAACTGCTCATGCCAGTACGAAATTGAAGTGCCATAAAGTGCCATTAATATTTTTTGCCAAGAGGCTAGCATGGTGTTAGTTAAAAAAAAAAATGTTGTCTCTTTGCCCACGTTTATCCTGATCGTGCCATCGGCATCATGCCATGAGATGCAAGTAGCCATTGTCACCTTTCAGAGAGCAGTGTGTTAGAGAACGGCCAGTCGAAGCGGATATCACAAAAGTACGCGTGAGATCTCTTCAAGTGAACTCTGGTGCACATCATAGGGGTGAGCACTTCCCTACCTGCCTTGCCACCGAGACTGTCTGTTGTACAGTAGTTAAAGCAACATCTGTATTTCTCAGAGCTGGAATTTAGTGAAATAAGTGCACAACCAAATTTAATGTGATGGTTTTTGTCGTTCGGTTATTGATGATCGGGGCTGAGACCATCAACTTACTTCACTTGAGAACTTCGTTTATTCACAGGCACCTCCTTGAATTAGAACGCAGGGTCTCAAGCAGTCTCAACTCAGCATTCTAATCTGTGAGCCACCCGGCCACCTGCTCTGCATGGTCGGCTAATAAGACAATGATCTGAGTTGTCCGATCCCACTGGTTGTCGCTCGGTACCTCTGTTATGAGCTTCTGCAGTTCCTTATTCTCTTCCTCCAGCTGCTGTGCCTTCACGTCGACTGCAGGAGTGGTGGATGGAACGTTGGACGGCTCCGAGGTCTCTGCTGGGTGCTCGTTCCGCAGCAAAATCCTCCGCATCTGCACGAAAACCGTGAGAAAATGCACTGTCGGCAACTTACGGACCGGCTGAAAACCTTCACTTTATCATAGCAGAAAGCAATAATAATAATAATAGTGTTGATATATCCTGTGATCCAAGGACCAGCGTGGATGATAGACTTAGAATTCAGGAAAAAAAATCACACTGATGCAGAGTGAGAATTAGCCGCTCAAAATCATTAATCCGTGAAAAATCATGGATTACAGGGACAGTGCGGCACTCGACCAGCGGATAAATGAAAACGGCAATAAATTCGTGGATTACTAATTTTTTCTAGGAACCAAATGATGCAAATCTGCCACGTGGGTCTGTGTTAAAAAACGTTTTTACTTGATATCTAAGTATAAAAAAAGTATTTTTTTCTAAACAAATCATGGCAGCACAGCTAGCCTGTGCCAATGTAAAAAGAAATTACTGTATATGCAAAAATAAATTAACTCGTAATTTTTCTTGCAGCTCCAGGTCTGCAGCTCCATGTTAGCCCTGCCCACCTCTATTGAACGAGGTTTTCGGTCCACATAGCGTCGTCAATCCGCTACTGTGTGGCACGAATTACGTGGAGCAGTGGTGTACCGCCAATAATCCGTGAATTGCAGGGATTTGCAAATTATTGCATCATGGGTTATTGGAGTTCTGCTGTATTTTAAGGGTCTTAGTGCACTGGGAAAAGTATGAGATTTTCCAGATAAATATCTGCACTAATAAACACATTAATAGCCAGTTGTCTAAGCAAAAAATTCAGCAAAATGCGAGCTCTGATATCGAAATGTAGCACAGCGTAGAATACAATGTAAACTGTTTAAAATAAAAAAAACATGGACAATTCAACAAGCTTGTTTTTTCCACCTTCGGTGTTGTATCGCATGACGCTTCACGTTTTGACAGCAAGTTTCTAATAGTGTAAACTGAAAACTCTTGACTTCACATATTTTTCGACTGCCTTTAGTTTTCTGTGCCAATTGACACTGCAGTGCTTTCCCATGAAAAGTGGGTCAGGGTTCACCTTCCACGCAAGTGGTGAGTCTCTCCGTGGGACAACCTCTGTGACATTTCCCCACAAAGGGGTACCCTTTTTATCGGTCCTGGAAGGATGACCAGCTGAGTCCACACCAGACCAGGATTTCAACTGTCACCCTTCTGATCACGAACCATGCATTTGAGCACGCTGCCATCTGGATATCGTACATAGCCCCAAAATATCATTATTGCTGATTGTAATACCTGGAGAATAGGTCTCGCACTATGGTGGTCAGCATTTTTTTTGTAAGATCATAAATATTTCTAGTTGTAAACATTTATTGCAACTTCAGCCACTTCTCTGCACGTTGACATGGATCTGCACGGTGGAGATGGATGGGCAAGTCTTAACATTGAAAGCTGAACAGAACATCCAGTTTCCTGTGTCAGCTGGTCTTACGCATTGCCCGTGCGAGATGGATATCAAATTAGCAAACAATACATGCATCGGTTTATTGGTCGATATGTATTGGTAAAATGTGCAATCCAAGAGGTTTTGCACATGCCGGTGAATGTGCAAAATCATACCAACGCATCTCCACGTGTAACACAAGCCCCAATTGATGGACATGAAGTGCCTCATTAAAATTGCCTCGTCTGCTCTATAAACAGCCACATGGCTGCATAATCAAGATTCCTTGCTTGTGGTGAACCTGCTTATATTTCATATTTCACAGTCATTTGTTGTGAAGATGCCGTGCGCGAGACGCACACGAGCACACGTCTCTGGATTTGAGCAGCGGCGCTGAGAGGGAGCGGAGGTGAGAATCCCGCAGAGAACAGAGGCTTGCCTTGGGCAGGAAGAGGACAGCCAGGGTTATGAAGGATGAGAAGATGATGGCCAGGGAGGTGAACACAAAGGAGGCATCCTGCTGGCTCGTGAGGATCATCGTCACTGGAGCAGTGATCATGCAGAGAATCTGCAATCAACACAAGACCGTGCACACATATCTGCCGGCAATGCTTATTTGTGGGGGGGAGGGGGGTGCATTATTATAACTACTGCAACTCAAGTTATAACCCTTTGTCAATCCACTGCTGGATGAAGGCCTCCCCATGCTGTGTGAATTATGGTGGTTATATGCTCATAGTTCAATACAACGGTCAGGGCCGGTTTTCATATCGCTCACCACAGATGTTGGCTGTAATTGGGAATTGAATTCAGGTTGTCAGGCTCAAAGCGCAGCGCACAAATCACAACGCCACCACCGCCCCGAAAACAGTACATTACTTGCTTAAAAACGGAAGTCACTTTTAAAATTCATTCAATTGAAGTTTTGTTAATTCCAGGCTGTTTCAATGTTTACATTGTTTACTAGATTTAACACCTGTGTTTTATATATATATTTGTACCCTATATTTTTACATATAGAAAACAAATATCTCCCACATATACTCTTAGGTTTTTCGGTAAAGTCACGTAGGGAAATTTTTTTTATAAAAATAAAATAAGAAATCATGACGTTTCGGAGGCAACACAAGTCTCCGTCATCAGGTGGGATAGTCACAGCTAGATTTACTGTCTCAAGTGAATTTAGCTGTGACGGTCCCACCTGATGACGGAGACTTGTGTTGCCTCCGAAACGTCGTGATTTATTATTTTATTTCTATTATTATTTCTATTATTTTATTATTCTTTATTTTTTACCTACGTGACTTTACCGAAAGATCTAAGAGTATGAATCCTTGCTGTCACGAAAGCTTCAAATCTAGAATCTCCCACATAGACTTCAACAGACTGTTGGGGCAAGTGCTGTTAGCAAGCACCTACGGTATACCACAAGGGAGCGGGTGGCCAACAACACGCCTGGCCGCCTTTGTCTCTCCAGTGCTGGTGTTTACACACCACACCAAATAGTAGTTTAAGGCCGAATCGACCTAGGGGAGGCGCAGGACTGATTCATACATTCATCACCGATGGTGGAATCGCACACGGGTCACTGGGTTCGTAGCACAATGTGCTAACCACTTTACTACTGCTCCCCCACACTCACAGACGCACACACTCAGGCACACACTGCTGTAAATATTTTATCATGCGACATTCATGAGTGGATGTCTGTGAAAAGCATTTTGCGAGCGCTGCCTTCATGAAGTCACAATAAGGGTTAAGATATACTGCAGTGATGAAATGCCACAATATGCTGCACTTTCTCGCAACATGTCCATCCTCTATTTATCACGACCATCGAGCCCATCAGTCACCACCACTGACGTCCAAATTTCGATGATGTATAACGCGAACACGCAAGTCGGCTGTGCACCATAAGTTCGCATCCAGGGTAACACGATACAGGCAAAAAAAAGGTCCCATTTTGTAGCTGCTCACCCCGAGCTATAAATGCTCTCATAGTGCGTTGTCTTTGTAAGGTTCGCCTTTTGGCGTTCTCTGGTCTGACACTGGTGAGACGAGGCCTGAAAGAAGGCCGTCTCTGCTGTAAGGCAATCCGTTTCAAAGACAATGCCAGTATATTATTGTCAGAGCACGTTTGTTTGCATGTTCACCACAAGTACGTGTGGTTAATGCGAACTTGATTCCTTGCAAAAGGTTTCTATTTGGTGTTGGAACGTCTTAACACCTCCAGAAAGCGTAACAATACGTGATTATCTTCTTGGTTCTTTCGGTAAATTCACGGAAAATGGAAATAATAAAATAATAAAAATAAAACATAATAAAATAATTCTCACGACGTTTCGGCCACAACGCAAGCAGCCGTCCTCAGGTGAAGAACAGGTCTGTCGCGAAGACATTCAGACTCTGTCTTCTCGACAGACTTGTTCTTCACCTGAGGACGGCTGCTTGCGTTGTGGCCGCAACGTCGTGAGAATTATTTTATTATGTTTAATTTTTATTATTTTATTATTTCCATTCTACGTGACTATACCGAAAGAACCAAGAAGATGAATCCCTGCAGTCACGAAAGCTTTAAATCGAAATTTAATACGTGATTATTTTTAAATCCTTTATATTAAGCGTGCTTGCTTGCTTGCTTACGACCGTGCAAATCTTTCGGTCGTTTTTTAACCCACTTCCCGTGATCCAATCAAGCTGACATTTTGCACACAGACTCGTTGTGCGAGACAATTAATGTTCGTGAAAATTTTTTTCCAAAATTTTACAATGTTTAGGGAAAACAAATTAAATATTTAATTACCAATTGCTTAATACTGGCAGACAATCATCTGACCCATAGGTGGCAGCCATCTCAAGCCAGAGAACGAGAGGACTCTAGCCGCCACGCATATAAAGGATTTATAGTGAAAAACTTTGTTTTTACGGGTTATACTTATTTCACACGAAGACAGGGCAACTTAACCCCCCCCCCCGCCCCCGTGTTTGGAGTAGTGGCACAGCGGTTAGTTTTAACCCGGCGACCCGAATTTGAATCGTGGCCACGGCTTTTATCAGTGGCGAGCAGTGGCGGCTCCTGCAAAATCTCTTAGGGGGGGCAAATGTCTGGATGATTGATAAGGATAAGGTCCACCAATGCAATGGACAAATTAGCAGCTTAAGCATGTAAAGGCAACTTGACTTCTTTAATATTAATGAAAAATAAAGTGACTCTTACAATACATCTTGTTTGTTTCTATACTCACTATTATTACAATCCACTCAGTTTTTTTTATTAAAGATTTCACTAGGTGGCGACAAATAATATTGTTGACTGAAACGTGCTTACGTATGATGACATAAGCACGTTAGTGCGAGCCCTCCCGGAAGCCATAGAGAATGCATTGCAGCGCCCGCCGTTAGAAAAAAAACATCTTTGAATGTAAGTCTATGGGGCTACTCGGGGCGATTCTCAGCCGGAGTGAAATCGCCCAAAAAGAGGCGGTACTCCACAGAACGTGACATGACGCTGATTGGACTATATCCAGAGGCACAGTAACGGCTAGCGTGACTCTCTGGTTGAATGACATTGGTGGTGCGTCGCCCAATCGCCCAAATGAAGAAACCGCCCCTGGTGGCGAGCGATGTCTGAACCACTGCTGGGCCCCTCCGCTGACCTGCACGGACCACCGTGGTGAAGTATGGCCGAAACACCTCAATGACAGACACAGCATGGGGAGGTAGTAGGTTTTTACCCTTTAAACTGGTACAAAACTGACACCTTTATACAAGGCATCATGTTTGCAATAACCACAACACAAGCAGTCAAATGCAAATGTATACAGGTGTCAGTTTTGTACCAGTTTAAAGGGTAAAAACCTACTACTATATTTTGCCACTGGTAAAGGAGGTCTCATAGTGTAAATGCTTTACCGCGAGCTCTCAATACTCTGATAGTGCACTGTTTTTGAGTTGTACGCCTTTTGGCGTCATCTGGTCCAACACCAATGGAGACTAGGCTCTAAGGAAAGCTGTCTCGGGTGTGAACCAATCAACTTCAAGGATAGTGCATATTATTATCATTATCAGAGTTGTTTCTTTTTGTTTGCATCTCACTGCTTGTTTTGTGGTTATTGCAAACATGATGCCTTGAATAAAGGTGTCAGTTTTGTACCAGTTTAAAGGATAAAAACCTACTACTATATTTTGCCACTGGTAAAGGAGGTCTCATAGCATGGGGAGGCTTTCATCAAGCAGTAGCTTGACAAATGGTTTCAAATGGTAATATATTTTTGTATTAAACACCCTTCATAGGAAAACCTCTATCCCCATTGCATATTAAGTATTGTGTGATAAAAAAAAGTGTTATTCTTTCTGGCATATACACAGGTGTTAAGATGGGCAAACACCAAATAGACGCCTATTACAAGGCATGAAGTCTCCATTAACCACACTAGCATGCAAACATGAATGTGCAAACATTAATATTTGCACAAATGTCTTAACGCCTGTATTTATGCCAGAAAGGGTAATACAGCCTTTCTTCATCATTAAAATATCTTGATACTGGCGAAAGGGTCCCACAGATATATGTTCTGACCCGCTCCTACTGGGCAATCTGTGAAAAGGAGCCTTTGAGCTCATTGGATTCCTCCAGTATGAATACATATTCTTATTCTGGTATTAAGTGTGTTCTTTTTCCAGTTTACCAAGCATGTTCAAGTTACTCCTTCCTAAGTGCGCCTCCCTTTCATTTTCATCCCCCAAATACCGCTCCATTCCACTTTCTATCGTAAGTTCCTTTCCCCTCACCCTCCCCTTCCCACATAAAAGCACACACAGTCACCCCTTATCCCCCCGTCTCTAAACTCAGGAAGCACTGCGTTTGGGACTTCTGTCCACCGAGTTTCTGTAACCCCCACCACCCTCTTCCTCCTCCCTACATCGCGCTTGGTGCTCTGTACCGCACCTCCTATTGAAATATAAGAATACAAAAAGCATGTTAATTGTTTCCTCTTACAGACGTGCCACCCAAGACCCCCCCTGCCCTCTCCACGAGGAAGCCAGAACCCTGTGAAGGAAGCCGTTCCCACCCCGCGGAAGTTCTCACCGCCACGTTGTAAATGGCCATGCCCACGGCACGGTGGTCGTTGATTTTCTCCGCGTACATGCTCTTCGTCTCGTACGCCAGGAATATTCCGAGCAACAGCAGCACGCCTTTGTAGCCGTAGAAGACACCTGCGACAGCAAGCGACACGTTCGAAATAACGAATGGGCGATGGCAAAAGCAACGTTTTATTGTGAGAGTACTCAATAGTACTATATAGTGCGAGAATATTCTAGATCATTCTATAGTGAGCCAGAGGACTCTATAGTGCGAGAGTATTCTAAAGTATTCTACAGTAAGCGAGAGTAATCTATAGTGCGAGAATATTCTAGATCACTCTGTAGTGAGCGAGAGTATTCTAAAGAATTCTACAGTAAGCCAGAGTAATCTATAGTGCGAGCATATTCTAGATCACTCTATAGTGAGTGAAAGGACTCTATAGTGAGCGAGAGTATTCTAAAGTATTCTACAGTAAGCCAGAGTAATCTATAGTGCGAGAATATTCTAGATCACTCTATAGTGAGCGAGAGGACTCTAACGTATTCTACAGTAAGCCAGAGTAATCTATAGTGCGAGAATATTCTAGATCACTCTATAGTGAGCGAGAGGACTCTATAATGCCAGAATATTCTAAAGTATTCTACAATAAGCCAGAGGACTCTATAGTGCAGTGGGCGTGAGTGTGTAAGCATGCATGCCAATGTTTGACTATTATCGCGTACAACGCTTAGCGGTGTCGTTTCGTTGCGCATACTCTCAGCAAGTGCGTTGAATGAAAACAAAAGTAAAGACACTCGCCGCCCACTCCCTGCCACTGCCTCTGCGGTGCAAGTGTGCGACTCGCCGAGCCACGTCATGATCTTGAACGAGCTGCAGTGCTCCAACCTGGACCAGATGTATACATCCTCTTCGCCCTCTCGCTTTTCTTGAATGAAATCCTGGCGAGAGAGAGATATATACATTTTATTTTCTCGTAAAAAGTTTTTTTTTGGGGTTAGATGGCGACGGTATAAATGTGTCGTAACCCTCCACCACCCGACACAGCCAGTAAGGTTTGTCACGTAAACAAAACGCGTGGCAATTAGTTGACTACTTCAAGCCCACCGGTGTGTTTGAGAGTAAATACACAAACACATGCGACGAAAAGGCGATCATTCCGAAGCTCCCCTTCCGGCGGCGTGGGATCATCTTCCGAAAATAATGATGCATTGTAAAACATTGTGTAAATACTTCTGACATGTCCCCAATGGACCTCTCTTAGTTGTTAAACAGCTCTCCTATTCACGCTGTTTTCAAAGCACATTTGGCCAGGCTGCCCCCACCGGAGGAGCAAGGTCCTCTGAGCTAGGTTACGCCAAACATGGAGGACAAAAAAAAAGCATGCATAGATTCTGTAATGTATTTCCAACGTGTTTGTCCTAGGTAATATCTAATTAGGGGGTAATCATGGCAGCGCTCGTGCCAGGCGTGCGTGGCACAGGAGGCTGCGATGAGACAGCCAGGCCTGCTCTCTTGTGATGAAGGTCACGGGCAATCCTTTGATCAATTTGGCCGGTCTTCTGTTGAGTAAGTTCTTGATAGCAACACAACTTTGCATTAAAGTGTGTTTCTTCTTCATTGGATCGTATTTTTGAGTTATTGTCCGTAGGCCACAATTTTAGCACTATTGGAGGACGTCTCCAATAGCATCACAACTTTATACTAAAGTTGTGTTTGCATTGTTAACAAAATAAATAAGCAGACAATACATCTTCCCCATGTCTCTCCCTCCAGATATGAAGTAAAATATGTATTTACACATCCCATTGGCCAAACTGCCTTCTGACAATTATTTTTCTGCAGCATTGGTTCAATTCAAGCAAAACTCTGGACTGGTTGTGACATGCAGTGTCTCATCAGCAGAGTCCGGCTATCTTAAACCAATGCTGATGAGATGCCATATGTTAATTAGCAGGGACGCATGTTAAATATGGGTCCGAGTTTGATGTAAAACTGAAAATACATAACACAAAATATATCGGATGATCTTTATAAGAGTTATCATGCCGGCCCGTTGCAGACAGACAGACATACACAGCTAATAGTTTGACACTTTCAACTTCAGTTGGAGAGCAGCAATACAAATTTTAAACATCCAATTGCACGCTATTTTTGTGTGCGGTCATTGGTGAACAGGCTGATAACCATCAACTAACAAAGTTTAGGGCCTTAGGTTATTCCAAGTGAGCAGACTGGGATGTCAACCCAGGTTCTCAGTAGTGCCTGCCCTGTAGTCTGACATTTAAATGCCCAGCCATGTTAGGTTGGTGAGCACACCCCAAGGAGCTACTAATGAGGGGGCCTCCGTCAATTTAAATTGCTCATGCCACCAACTGTGTTGCGATGTTAGCCATCGGCAAATTATGCAGTCACTCAAAATTATAGAAGCCCCCCACCCCCCCCCGAGGTTGAATAATTTTCGAAGCAAAATCAGTTGGCCCCCTCCTATGCATTTACATATTGCATAATATGAAATGTGTTTGCCTATAGAAGTACATTACGTACATTAAAAAAAACTATTTTTACGCTGTACAAGTCAGTTCGGTGCACTTCGCTCCTATTAAAACCACAACAAAAATGTGAATAATTTAGCATTAGCGCAGGTGCCAAAGAAAACTAAAGTCAAAGAAAATAATAAATTACCTTTTTACCTCTATAGTGCGATGGAGAGGATGAACGACTTGCCAGATAAGGATGAAGATCGCGTCCGTTAAGAGGAAGCCTCCGGCCATGGCATAGAGCTTCCAGTCCTCAAACTCCTGAGAGATCTTTGGAGCAAACAAACCCCACATGAACCGAGGCACCAGCTGAATAATAATGATGACACGAACGGTGGATTCGAGATAGCAGGAGAGACACAAAGGTTTTGTGGAGCCAAGGAAAACAACATATAGAACTGGGACATCCAATTATTGAAGTAATTGATTCCTCAACCATTTAATAATTTGAATAACAGGTCTGTCTTATCGACAGACCTGTTCTTCACCTGAGGACGGCTGCTTGCGTTGTGGCCGAAACGTCGTGAGAATTATTTTATTATGTTTTATTTTTATTATTTTATTATTTCCATTCTACGTGACTTTACCGAAAGAACCAAGAAGATGAATCCCTGCAGTCACGAAAGCTTTAAATCGAAATACAAAAATGTGGTCGATTGCGATTTTTACTCGATTAATCGACTTAATTGACTAATCTTTTCCAGCTCTAATCACACCCATGGCACCACGTAGTGCGGGATATACCATACAATGTGCTGACCCCATGTCAACCATGCTGTCCCAGCTCGTGGCTTTCTCACATTAGGCACACTGTTCCCTTCGTAACGTGGTTAATTGAGCATTGTACATGCAGTATGGTGATACCACGTGACAGGCAAGGCACGATGGAAGTATTATTAATCCTGTGGTCACAATTGCACATTTTGCTGCCTAGAAATCATCTTTGGTTCCTGCGCGGCTATAACCAAACATTTACGTATCGCGAACGATTACAAATCGCACAAGTGTCTCCACGAGTATACGAGTTAGTATTTTTTTCTGAGCAGCGCACGTATCTCTAAATTCCCCGTCTCTGTGCCAAGGACAACAACAATTCGTGAATCTGCCAACCGTGGCTGGGCTACGGTTACTGGCGGAGTTCTCGTTGGCATTTCCCAGGCGTCCCTGAAAATGTGTGGCGGGGGAGCTTGGGGAAGGGGCACCTCTGAAACCCATTTTTTTCCCCATTGCCCTATATTTTCCGCCAAGGCAAACTGCCTACATCGCATACCCGTAACGCCTTCACTGTCGTTCGCCAGCTGGGCGATGTCATCAATTTACAGAATTCGCACGAACGCTGCTTTGCACTTTTGGGTTTTTGTATTGTTTGTTGTTGTAACGTTCTTACCCCCTTGCCCCTACTAGACATCTGTGAAAAAAAGATTTATAGCTCATCAGATTCCACCTGTGTATATAGTCAGATTCTGATTCTGATATGAACTGAGATGACCCCATACAGGGCTTGATCTCTCGATCCAATAATGACTGCGAGCCTGCCGTTTGCGAACTGAGGGACCCCCAGGGGCTGATCAATGACATAAGACCGTTTTTGTCAACTCCATCTCCCTATATACATTCAAGTAAACGACGTGTCTGCTCTTTTCATGAGTTCACAACCCTTATGTCAGGTCACAGAGAGCTTGTTTCATCATCGTGGGACGTACAAGTGTAAGACGGTTGTTTTGCTATGCTGGTTCATGCACAAAGTGGTGATCTTTTGCAAAAGAACAGCGTTAGATCTTGAATGGCTAAATGAGACATCTGCACTTTTAGCTGTACGGAACAGGACAAGAACGCAGCAATACATTCCACAGTACCACGTAAGCTCACGGCATGCCAAGTGACTCAATAATTTGCAATTTAATATTCAGCCCTTTATCAATCCACTTGCTGGACAAAGGCCTACCCTTTCCATGTTGATGATGGTTGTGTGACCATACTTCACCACGCTGGTAAGTGCGTGTTGGTGAAGGAGTTTCCCCAGGAGCAACGGGGATAACTGGCCACTGACTTTAGCCATGGCCAGGAATCAAACTCAGGTCACCAACATTCACTCCACTCGCCTAAATAATTTGGGGATAATTAAATGCCAAAACGTTCGCAAAGTTTCACGTGTGGGATTTGGGTTCCGTATGATACGACGTAACATTTGACAAAAATAGCACGCAAAGATGTTTAGGACCAAAAACATGCCCACTCAGCCCATTACGCTTGATCTTACAATGGATCAAAAGCCAATTTCACGTGGATTGTGCTTCAGCCCCAGGCAGCTGCACTGAAATTAACATCGAAACATTTAACATTCTAACGTAGCCTTCAATTATATTTATCCCATAGAACCCGACTCACTGCCTCCAGCTATGAATCACGTGTAAGCTACTGGGGATTTCATGACGGTTTTACGACTCTGCCACGCTTATATTTTCATTCGCTGCAGAGAGAAGATTAGCCTGGATACTCACGATGTGATGACATTACCTATAATACGGTTAATGTAACAAAAATACTCTCGTAATGATGTCAAAAAACTGCGGCATGTGTTTGTCCAAATTAAAAATGTTCAAAGCAGGTTCATTATCAACAAAGCCAATGCAACCGATGCATCTATTTTTTTTCGTTACAGCGTGCATTTTGTTTTGCCGTTCTTGTTTTTCCCCCCATTAAGTTGGCGTAGAGCCTAACCATCTGGCATATATTTGTGCAAATGCCTAAATCCCTTCCAATACTAATTCTGCGCCGATTTTCTTCTCTTGCTAAGTGCTAGAATTCCGATGTCAAAACATTCTACAGGAACGTTACATATTTTATGTCGGCACATGAATTAATTATAGCATTACTTATTCAGCGATGCTTAGGTGCAACCCACTCATACCGCACACGCGAGCAGACGGAAATTAAGCATCTCCACTGCTGCCGCGATGATTAGTAATTTTAAATTAGGCCAATGCATCTACGGTTGCCGATAATTACAACAGTGACATTGATGATGAGGATTACGGGGTGGAAGCAATTCGTCCCCATCCAGTGGCAGCGCTTGGGGTAGGCAAATTGAGCAAAACCTCCAAGGGCACCAAACAGCTGACGGGGCCACGCGTTCAGGCAACACTATTAGAGGACGCAGCAAAGACCATCTCAAATTCAGAGCCTAATAATAAAAAAAAATCATCACAATCGAATCAATTGTATTACCATTATACATATTTAAAACATGTAATTGCGTTTATTCTATTGTGTAAATATTGAGCTGCATAATTATTCTTTTTGTTGCACCGTGTGATATAATGAAGTCATGTAGCTTGTCTAGTAGTCACGTGGCACGCTGGAGGATGAGCGTCACCGAGGGTGGGGGACTTAGTGGGTTGTACAGCAGGGGGCACAGCTGGTGCATCTTGCCAGTCATCTCAGTCGCTCAACCCATGGCACGGATCTGGGGTCTGTCCCGTGACCTCGTGTCATCAGCGAGCCTTCGACACTTCACGTGGCCTCCAAGCGCACCTGGCCTGGCACAGGCGTCGTGGTGACGTCACCGCCACTGAGCGGCGAATGGCGTTTATTGGAATTTGGCTTAATGCACGTGTAGTGTGTCATTCAGAGACACTATTTAGGAGGCAACAACGTTTAGTCTACACTTTACGCAACACCGTTACACTCGGGACTAAATACACCTATTCTCGCTCTTGTTACGCATAGGACCACAATACACCTATTTCTCTTACATACGGGATAACTATAATCTAGTCAGAGCAGCCAACGCGCTGCCTGACCCACGATGTCGGAGACGTAGCACTTGGGTTCCACTTCACCTGCAGACAGCCCGGATCTGTGATCGGGGCGTCCCTTTTATCTCTCTCGGCGCGGCCTGGCTCCACCCTCGGCCGCGCCCTTCGTGCAGAATATTCCCGACTGTTCCAGGCTACACCGCACCTGTTCCCTCTCTGGCTCCGCCCTTAACCACGCCTCTTCATCTTCTTGGTTCTTTCCGTAAAGTCACGTAGAATGTTCTTCACCTGAGGACGGCTGCTTGCGTTGTGGCCGAAACGTCGTGAGAATTATTTTATTATGTTTTATTACTTTATTATTTCCATTCTACGTGACTTTACCGAAAGAACCAAGAAGATGAATCCCTGCAGTCACGAAAGCTTTAAATCGAAACACGCCTCTTCACTCTCTAGACGTTCTCAGCTACTCCACCCCCGTGCCCCCTCGTTCACCTTTGGCACACATTACTCACCCCGGCCCATCACGTGCTTAACCCGGTGCCGGGGTGACTCGTCCTCACATGACCCCTAGCACCAGCCGCCCCACACCGCACTCTCCCAGTGGCCCCCTCTGCGGCGCTGGTGGAGGCTGCAATCCCCTACTCTGTCGGTAGGACGCATGAGGCTTCCTGCTACGAGCACCCAGTACCATGCTCCTAGTGGCCCACCGAATGGCAGAGGTCGCAAACGGGTTTTGATTCTTTACCCGTACCCGGCCGCACCAGGGTCGCAAACGGGTACCCGTACCCGGCCGTACCCGTACCCTACCCGTACCCGGTCGGGTACGGGTAGGGTACGGGTATCGGGTACCTGATTGCGACCTCTGGTATGAAGCCATGTTGCAGGCGCGGGTGGGTTGATTCTAGGAACTTGAATTGTGAGAAGAGACAAGACGTTGGGAAATGAGTGACAAATGGTTACTCACCAGTGACTCACGGCGTACCCGTACCCGGCCGCACCAGGGTCGCAAACAGGTACCCGTACCCGGCCGGGTACGGGTAGCCGGGTATCGGGTAGGGTACGGGTATCGGGTACCCGGTTGCGACCTCTGCCGAATGGTACTGCGTGGTGTGTGAGCCTCTGCGCCTGTTTCAACGGCACTTGGCACGACGCGCCGTAGTGATCCATTTAACATCGCTACACGTGTAACAGTAACGATACATGACAGCATGGAGAGTGCAGTATACATTGCTTTACACATCTATCTCTCTCTCCTCTGTCTCTCTAGTTCTTCTGACAGCGTCTATCTCCTGAATTTATAGAATATCTCCCTCATAAATCTTGACTTAAAGCTTTCGTGACTGCAGGAATTAATATTCTTTGGGTCTTTCGGTAAAGTCACGTAGATAGAAAAAAATAAGAAAAAAATATTACGACGTTTCGATCGCAACACAAGCAATCGTAATTTGTTCACCTGATGACGATCACTTGTGTTGCGATCGAAACGTCGTGATTTGTTTTATATTATTTTTACCTACGTGACTTTACCGAAAGAACCAAAGAGTATATCTACTCTGTCTCTTCTTCTGAATAATCTCTCTCATATCTTTCTGAAGAGTATATTTCTTATCTCAATGTATATTTTCGATAATCGGGTTTTCTTTGTAATCGTATATCCCCTTCCTATCTCGTATCCCATACGAATAATCTGTCACGTAACATCCATTTCACATCTCATCTGAAAAATGTCTCCACTAATAAAATATATCTTGTCTGGATACATGTGGAGTCATGTTATGTTACTGTCTAATATCACTACATGTCTCCATTTTATTATCCTTACATCTCTAATGTATATGCATCAGTCATTTCTCACCTGAAACCATCGGTCTCTCATCACCATCTCTCATTTTCACTGCATTTCTCGCTCGTCCGTATCTCTCTTTAATCTCACGACGTGACTATCCATTGTCTATATCTCGTTTGTTATTTCACAGGAAGATTATTTCATTAAATCATAAATCGTTTTGACAGTGATATTCATTCATTGCAGCATCTCTGATGGCTGCAGGGATGGCGTGAAGCCATTGCACACAGGATACACATTGAAACACATTGATTCGTGTATCTTGAGTTTAAGAATCAATACAAATCGATGTATTGTTCCATCCACAATGAAGGTGCATAGTGTTAATGATGTTGATGCAAACACTGCTGTACTCGTAATCAAGATTGTTTAATCAAAACATGGTTGTGATGGCAGCGAACACACCATTGACTGGAACCATTCAAATAGAGAACTCCTCTGATTGTCGGTGATGTGGTTGGACAAACATAGCAGATCCTATCTTCCCCAATGCTTATCCTACAAAAAAAATTTACCCGTAAAAACAAAGTTTTTCACGATAAATCCTTTATATGCGTGGCGGCTAGAGTCCTCTCGTCCTCTGGCTTGAGATGGCTGCCACCTATGGGTCAGATGATTGTCTGCCACCATTAAGCAATTGGTAATTAAATATAATTTCTTTTTTCCCTAAAAAGTGTAAAGTTATGGAAACATTTTTTCACGAAAATCAATTGTCACGCACAAGGAGTCTGTGTGCAAAATGTCAGCTCGATTGGATCACGGGAAGTGGGTTAAAAAACGACCGAAAGATTTACACGGTCGTAAGCGCACAAGCAAGCAAGCAAGTGAACTTAATATAAAGGATTTAAAAAACAAACCCCATGCGGATATTAGGAATACAGTATTTGTTCAAACAAACTTGACTTATCCATACATAAATTGCAGCTTATATTGAGCTGTTCCACAAAGCAGGATGGGGGGATAAAGCATGGGTAATCGCAGATAATAGTAAGAATCGAGGTGCGAGAAATAGGAGTTTTCATGGATCCATCAGCTCCCACGGATGCTAGGGGGCGTGGATTATGGGATGGTGGATAAGAGGAGTTCTGCTTGTAGTTCTCACCTTGGTTTTTTCTTTGGTTTCGGATTTCTTTATGGATGCGGTGTGCACCCACCATATCTTGGTGAACATGCTGCTGTACGCTAAGCTGAATCCCATACTGATGAGCCAGACCCGTAACTGGGAAAGAGACGTAGCAGCAGACGGGTACACACACACACAGTATCATAACAGCCACACCGCCAGATGTGTGCACAATAGGAAACAAAATATTAAGTATTATTGGTTCTTACGGTAAAGTCACGTAGAAGGGAAATAATAAAATAATATAAATATAAAACAATAAAAATTCTCACGACGTTTCGACTGCAACACAAGCAATCGTCATCAGGTGTGAAATCCACAGCAAAATTGTATTATTTCCCTTCTACGTGACTTTACCAAAAGAACCAAGAATATGAATCCCTGCAGTCATGAAAGCTTTAAATAAAAAAAATATGAAGTCTCAATGCAATTTCACTTTTAGAGTAAGTATGCAACATTGCGGAAAGCGCTCCAGAGGGTCATCAACACAGCCCAAAAGATCGCCGGCTGCCATCTCCACACACTGGAAGAACTACACAGTTCACGTTGCATCAAAAAAGCACAGAACATTATAAAGGACTCTTCTCACCCTGGACACTCACTGTTTGAGCTGTTGCCATCAGGCAGACGATTCAGATCAGTCAAAACAAGGACAAACAGATTCAAACAGAGCTTTTATCCTACAGCGATCACCACACTCAATAATGCTAATTAATTATTAAGTAATAGTGTTTACAATTGATTGTGAAATAGAGATGTGCAATGACAAAATGTAACCTTATGTGGGTATGTGGGTATACTTGGGCTGTTTTTATATCTAGTATAAATTGATTATCTTTCATTTAATTTTATTTTTATTTTCTTGTTTTATTTAATTTAAATTAATGAATGATGCCCTGACTGGTGAGCATTTTAAATTTCGTTGTACTGGTGACAATGACAATAAACGATCTATCTAAAAAAAAATTATCATTGTTATTATTTTGCTTGTGTATCCAGGAAAGCCTCAAGGAGTCTCGATACTGTTGAGACTCCTTGCGGAGGGTCCTGCCAAGTTTTTCCCGCACCTCCGATTAGCACGGTTGGCTACGTACGGTGCGAAAGAAGTTCAACAAAGAAACATACACTAGCGGGCGATGTTGTTCGGTGTTATCCCCGATGTAGTAATTTGTAGGTCATTTTTTTTTTCACGAACGGGATGTTTGGCCAACACCAGTTACGAAAGTATGTTCTGGCAGCTATGGCAGGAAATTGGAGAACCCGGAGAAAACCCATGCCGAACACAGGGGGTCAGGCAACATAACTCCACACAGAAGAGGACCCGAGTCTGGAATTGAACCCAGGCTCTTCTTGCTGTGAGGCACAATTGTTGGCACTGCATCACCCTGCTGCCCAATTAAACATAAACACGGTCAAACAATCGACAAAATTCTGTTTGGGAACATGCGCACAAATAAATGCTCTTTGAGAGCTAAAATATTTCAACAATTTTTATTGAGCATGGAGCAGATTGCAAAGACACCTAAGGCCAAATTTCATGGGAACACTTTAATTTCAATAGTGAATAACAATACTAATTTAGCTATCTGCTTGGAAGATTGATGCGTATATCTCTCTCCTCTCTGCATACAAGGCCCTTAAAATATATGCTCTAACTTTGTGGGGAAATGTGTAAGTAATGGACATAAGAAATCTATGCAACTGTTGGGATGTAAGGCCAGTGAATTATTGATTTATCTATTTTTGGGCATCATTTATTTAAAGCAGGTGAGAGAGTCCGCTAAATAACACATCTCATTCTGTAACTGGGATCTGGTGATTGGTGGCGCTGGAACAAGATGTAATCGAAATTCAGTGCCCGCACCGAATATGAATGTAGCATAGAGCTAAAGTGATTAATTAGATACAATGGAATGAGACATTACTAAGAAAAATAAATCAGCAACTTGATTGACCGTTTGTAACCCAGAGTGGTACGATAGGGCATGCTGCCTTGGGGCATTCTTTCATTCAAATAAATTTCACTTCACAGAATTAAATAGCCAGATTTAGAATTTCCTTAATTCCATCTAAATTATTTATGCAACACCTCCACATTCTACAACAGTCGCTGAGTTGGCAAAAACCAAAGGTAACGGCGCAGACCTGTAATTTCTTACTCTTAGTTTTTTCGGTAAAGTCATGTAGGTAAAAAATTAAATTAAAATGAATAAAAATAAAATAATAAAAATCACGACGTTTCGGAGGCAACACAAGTCTCCGTCATCAGGTGGGACCGTCACAGCCAGATGACGGAGACTTGTGTTGCCTCCGAAACGTCGTGATTTTTATTATTTTATTTTTATTAATTTTAATTTCATTTTTTATCTACGTGACTTCAACGAAAAACTAAGAGTATGAATCCTTGCAGTCACGAAAGCTTCAAATCTAGAACCTGTAATTTCTTGCTTACACCACTGCTTGCAGAAGGGTCACCATGTCAGCGAACTCTCAAGGGTATTTGGCCTCTTAGATTTTGACGAGACTTGTTAGAAGAGGTGGGCCTACCCACGATTTACCCCACCACACAGAGGCATTTGAATTTGAGGAACTTGCACCTTTGTCTTAACCTCTCAGCTGGAAGACGGGATCAAGCCGGCAACTTCTGGATTGCAAGTCGAGTATGCTCACCGTTATACCACGATAGCTGCCCAGTTATGTAAATGGAATGGATTTTAATTTGGTTCTTCTTTGCACTTGGTTCCATCGCATTATTAATGGATAAGCCTTAATTTGTTCTCCTGTGAACATTTGATCTAATCTCAAATCATTACACAAACTGCCACTGCATTGTTCAAAGTCAACATTGCCTCTTGAAAATGGATGAATGTTAATGTTATTAATCTAAAATGTAGAAACAAACTGGCACCTATTCTATCATCATTGCTTACTTATATATCCAGCAAAGCCACACTGACTCAGAGGATAATTTTTCAGTCCTGCATTGGTTTTTAATTAAATTTCATGTGTTCAGCCAATTAATAATGACATGTTTATACGTGTGGGAGGGAATCGGAGCACCCGGAGAAGACCCACACGTGCGAGGGAGCAAAACTGTATCCCCATATAGATGGGAACAGATGGTGATAAGTCCACTTGCTGTACTGCCTTCTCCTGGCGAGCCAGGGTATGGTACATCGACACCCACAGGGAGTTTCACAACATTTGTGTGCTCCACCAACACTTGCCTCCACAGTACAGGATTACAGGCATGAGCTGCAACCATGGCTCATGGTAATATGGATTGTCTATAAACTGCTTACATTCTGTAATCCATGCGTTCCTTTTTTTGCCTCTGAATGTAATTCCAAGCAAACATTTTCTGTTTGCTTGGAATTATTCATTCTGCTCCTTTTTAGCTTTTCAATTTTGTGTCTGCTCGTTTATGACCATGTTTCTGAACCGTATGTCATAGCAGATGGCAGGCAATGATTCAAAACTGTTGGGAAAATTAAGTGGTCTTGAGTGGGACATGCCACAAAAAGTAACGATGGCCGATCGTCTAAAATTATGGAGTGGCCTTCGAGGGATGGAAAGCTACGGAGCGATGAAATCAACAGCTTTTAGTGTTTAGTTTGTTGTCCTTTCTCTGCCCCTCCGATTAGCAGGGTTGGCTATGTACGGTGCAAAAGAAGTTCAACATACATACGCTGCAGAACTGTGAGGGATGGCCAGGGGCGGTTTCTTCATTAGGGCGATTGGGCGACGCACCACCAATGTCATTGAACCACAGAGTCACGCTAGCCGTCACTGTCAGCCTCTGGATATAGTCCAATCAGCGTCATGACACGTTCTGTGGAGTACCGCCTCTTTTTGGGCGATTTCACTCCGGCTGAGAATCGCCCCGAGTGGCCCCATAGACTTACATTGAAAGATGTTTTTTTTCGACCGGGGGGCGCTGCAATGCATTCTCTATGGCTTCCGGGAGGGCTCGCCCTAACGTGCTTACGTCATCATACGTAAGCACGTTTCATCCAACAATATAATTTGTCGCCACCTAGTGGAATCTTTAATAAAATAAACTTGAGTGGATTGTATTAATAGTGAGTATAGAAACAAACAAGATGTATTGTAAGAGTCACTTTATTTTTCATTAATATTAAAGAAGTGAAGTTGCCTTTACATGCTTAAGCTGTTAATTTATCCATTGCATGGGTGGACCTTATTCTTATCAATCATCCAGACATTTTCCCCCCCTGAGAGATTTTGCAGGAGCCGCCACTGGGGATGGCAATCGCTTTCGTGGCCAAACAAAGACCAAAAAGCCTATCAACTGCTTGAGCAAAACGTGCGGAATGTGAAATGGGGGGCATTCATTGACGCACCTGGCACACAAAGGGGAAAGTGGCCATCGAAATGTGGAGGCCGTCCAGACCCAGAGGGAAGACTGCTGAGAGGGCCAGGACACAGCCCACGACCGTCATGTTGTTGAGACCCGGCTTCGAGTTCTGCACATACCTGATGTCAAGAAAGTGAGGGGGTGAATAACGCCGTTATGGCTTTTTGGTAAAGACAGTGGGATGACATCACACGATGAGATCATGGAGTTCAATTACAATGTAGTAGTGCTTGCAGTAGAAGTGCAGTTATGTCATGCAGCCAGTTGAGTCGATAATTGAGGAGAGAGAGACGGTGAGCGGATGGAGTGCACACACAGACGTTGATTGAACGTATCCTCAACGGGTGAATCCCATCCTCCGGAGGGAGGCATTGAGTCTGCATCCTGCCTTTTATGGACTTTAATAAGCCAATAGCACATCTCTTGAGAAACCATCCAATTTGTGTTTCCATGTCTCCTTTTCAATATCGAGCACCAATGATGCCAAAAAGACAGCTACATTTTGGGAAAACTTATTTTTTTTTTACCATTTTCCAATTGAGAACCTTTAATTTATAGGCAAAGTTTCAGTAACCTCTATTGCAGTGGTTCTCAATTTTTCTGGAGCTGCTGGTCACTGCCAATCCTCAAGAAAGTATTGCAGACTACGTTACATCAATAACAGGTTTTTTTTAAAAATTACTACTGTACTCTAAAAGCACTATACAATGGTAAACAGCCATAAAACGATTCACTTGGCCACTTCCCAGAGCTGTGTAAACCATCAGCGATTAGTGGACCACAGGCTGGGAACGACTAATCCATTGGCATCTTCTGCTACATGAATAAAGAAAAAAGTTCTTAAGCTGTTATGCAACGCGACCGGGCATTCACCGTTAAAATGCAAGGCTTCCAATGGCTTAAGCCATTGCAGGCTACTTTCTGTACTTATAACTACATGAACATAATTGTACATGTATTGTTTTAACCCTGTGTCGTACATCCCACTGTTTTGCACTGCGTCTGGAGATGCCGTTGCATTCGGAAGCTCTATAAAATCCAACTTTTATAACGTTGTACTGTAAAGCTGGACCAAAAATGCGAAGAGAAAATTTAGTTTTTAAAATATAATTTCACTTTTGACATACAGTAGAACCCCTCTTAACGACCACCCCTGTTAATGACTAATCGCTTAACGACGAGGCTCCAGAGCCCAATGTGTTCGCTTACCGACCATTCCCCTGTTTACGATGGGCTGTTGTTGGTAAATATTAATTAAAGCATTGATTAACCATGTTTCTTTTAATGTGTTATAATGTTGTTAGTATCTTTATGGATTAATATCCATTGTTTAAATGTTATAAAGTATGTTTTTTGGGTGAAAAGGGTAACTTTCGATGCTATCGGAATGAATAAGCCTTTAATATTTCTTCCTATACTTACTTAATGACCAAATCGCTTAACGGCCGGTTTCGTGGAACCAATTGCCGTCGTTAAGAGGGGTTCTACTTTACACTGTTAATGTCAAGTTAATTAAAACTACACTGGAAAACATATTGCGACAAAGGCAGAAAAACATCCAACCTTGTGTTCACGTGATGCATGGCCTGGATTTGACGGATTGAGAGGTGCACATCATGGTTTTCACTCACACAAAAGGGAGACGCACACCCTGAAGGATTTCACACCTGATTTGGCGATTGTAAACATTAAAGCTGAGGCAGAGAAGGCCCAGGATGATGCCGACGGTGGCCAGGACACAGACCGAGATGTAGAGACCCTGGGAGAGATAGCGAAACTGCTCCACCACTTTGGTGCGGTCGGGAGGTGGTGATCCACCTTGGGAGAGAGAACAAACGTCAAATCCCAGCGCATGCTCGAGAAGAACAATCATCATCACGATCCAGGGGTAGAGAGCCCGAAGTAGGTGTCCACTGCACATTTTGTCATTCGTTTCCGCTTTCCTCTGTCTCGCGCCAATGTGCTCAAGTGGTGCGCATCTTTCTGACACCAATGCCTTATGATGTCTTCGTCAAGTCATTCTCTGGTAGGGTCTTCCTCTCCTTCCGGTTCCTTAAATTTTTCCTCCAAACAACCCACTTTTAATTATCCTGTTGTCCATCCTGCATATTTGTCCAAATAGTGCCAGTTTCCTTCTCATCACTGCCTGCATCATTAGGTCGTCTTCTATGCGCAACCTTTTTCTGACTTCTACGTTGGTGACTCTTTGGGTCAAGTTTAGATGCAGTATCCTTCTATAGAAATATATTTCGAATGCCAATATCTTCTCTCAGTCAGTCTTTTTCAATGTCCAAGTCTCGCAGGCATACAAAGCTGCACCGAACATGCATGATCTTAAGATGTGCAGTTTGGTCTTGTAGGTGATTTGCTTGCTTCTCCATATTGTTTGAGAAGAACAATATAAAAACACTGAGGGAGGGGAGCATTTAATGACATCAAATTCCCAGGCAGGTGCTTTGTTTGTGTGAGGCTGATAGTAAGGCCCCATTTCTGAGTAGCATGCTCCAGGTTCAGCACTATTGTCAGCTATACATTTCCATATGACAAGCCACATGGTTCAGCTCTAATGTGGCCAGGTCACTTCTAAAAAAAGAGCTATATATCTTAGTGGGCCTTACTTGGTAAAATAAAAAATAGTTTCGTTTTTAAGTTTATCTCCAACTCCTCAGACTGGGCAGCAATCATCATATCATCCACATAAATATAAATTAGCTGACCAATAGGTAGCCAATCCTTGACTGCACCCAGGAATCAATCAGCCTCCCCTTGTGTCTATACCAGATGGCAATTCCACTGACACATCCATGGAAAGCTTCTCGAACTCCGTGGCCAAAGACGATGTAAAATAGTGTTGGGACCAGAGTACATCCCTGTCGCACCTAAAGGTGAACAGAAAATTGCTCCAACACTTGGCCACGCAACTTTACCCAGGCCTTCTCGCCATCACGAAGGTCCTTGATTAATGTGAGCAGATAGCCTGAGACTCCAAAAGCACGAAGAAATAATCCAGATCCTTGGCCTATTGGTGGTATCATGGGCCTTGACCAGGTAAATAAAGCAGGGATGTCCTATTGAAATAATTTACACCTCTGTTGTAGCATACGGACAAAGAAAATGGCGTCCATGCAGGACCGCCTAAGTCGGAAACCACACAGGGGCTTCGCAAGCTTCTCCTCAGCTTGTCTGCAAAGGCGATGTTGAATCATTCTTCAGGAGGGAGATACCCCGGCAGTTGTTGCACTCAGCGCGGTTCCCCGTTTTACAAATGCTGACCCCACCATGGCATCCTTCCAATCCTTCGAAACCCATCCTAACACCAGAGGGGGTAACATTTTCTCTGGGTCTGGTGTGCTAGAGCCAGGTGTAATGTATAGTCACATGCTACACCATCTATTGATTAGGTAATCAATAACTCATGTGTTGTGTGAACAGCCCCCTTAGTGTAAACATTTATTGTACAACAGAATGTACTTTGGCAGCAGCAGCAGGCACAGCAGCAGTAGGACAGCTCTCCGTCAATACAATAATGTCAATTGTTCACCCCAGCTAAGAGCTTCACGTCTCAAGATGTTTTTTTTTTCCATTAGGGTGCCTATATTAGGATGTTGGACCAATTCCATGAATGGTTGTTTGCCATTGTGGTGAGGAAACTGGAGCAACCAAAGAAAGGCCGCGCAGATGAGGAGGGTGGAATTCAAATCTCTGTCGTGTCGTGTTCACTCCGCCGCCCACAACATGCGCCAAGCCCTTGTGGCCACCCACCATAGCACTAACCAGGCTCCACAACCTGCTTAGCTTTAAACATCTGTGAAGATGCGATTTTTTTGTAGGGTGGTTTTATATTTACTAGTGGGAAAAAAAGATACATCATGATACGATATACAATGTAGAATGCAATGTTAAATTGTCACATAGAACTTGTGAGATGGTAACATGACTTTTATAATTATAAACGTATTTAAAAATGCATTCGAAGTTGTTGTTGTTGTTCTTCTTCTTCCGTATGGCTCATAAAGATAAAGCAACAACTACAATGTCACATTCAGGTGGTCAAGCCGGGCAACTGCGGCAGGAGCAGCGGAGTGTATCGCTGCGATGTCTGCTTCGTATTTGTGGATCGGGAATCGCGTTATTACGTCTTGTAAGGTCTGTTCCAGATGACCACAGTCGCGTGCCGGAGTTTTTAATTGTCCATTTGTGCATCAGGTATCCGCGTCTGCCATGGCTTGTGCGGATGCGGTTTGTTAAAGAGGAGTGAGTGAGTGGTACCGCAGCTATTAGAGCGATGCACGATGAACTCGGCGACCTGAGTTCGATTCCATTCCCGGCTGCAGTCGTACCCCCCCCCCCACCACTTCCCCAACCCACCGCCCCCTCACCAAGCCGCATTGACTGGCATGGTGAAGTATGGTCAAATAATCCCCATTACTGACTCAGCAGGCATTCGTCCTACATCTAACTGACAAAAGGGTTGGAACAATAAGCAACTAATCTAAGTAAAAAAGCAACTTTTCTTGGTGAATCCAAACGGCAAAAAAATTAACCCGTAAAAGCAAAGTTTTTCACTATAAATCCTTTATATGCGTGGCATCGGTTTTATTTTATTATTCATTTCTGTTTTTCTTGAGTAAGAGTTTCATTTTTATCACATTGGTATTTTAAATTAAATTAAATATTTTTTTTTCCTAAAAAGTAGAAAATTTTGGAAAAAAATTTTCACGAAAATAAATTGTCACGCACAACGAGTCTGTGTGCAAAATATCAGCTCGATTGGATCACGGGAAGTGGGTTAAAAAACGACCGAAAGATTTGCACGGTCGTAAGCGCGCAAGCAAGTGAACTTAATATAAAGGATTTAACAAATGAACATGTTGCCATGGAAAGAATGTATGTAGGTTGAAGTTATTTCGCACCGTACGTAGCCAACCGTGTTAATCGGAGGTGTGAGAGAAAGAGGACAACCAAACAAAGATGTCCGTGTGACCAGCACTGAAATTAATTCTCCTTACCGATCCACTTTTCTGCGTTGAACCAGCTGATATTGTTACTTGAACTATCATAGTAGCCAATCTTCACATACTTCCCATCTGCAGGAACACAGGCACAACAACGTGTCATTTGTTTTTGTTTACTCATGAGTCAGTAATCATATATGCAACCAGGAGATGGGTAAATGGTTTATCCATTCAGGAGGTGGATGAAACCCATTGACAAGATGGCAAGCTCAACAGCAATGGAGACTAGGCTCTAAGAAAAGCTGTCTTGGGTGTGGACCAATCAACTTCAAGGACAGTGCATATCATTATCAATATCAGAGTTGTTTATTTTTGTTTACATTTTGACTGCTTGTGTGGTGGTTATTGCAAACATGATCCCTTGTATAAAGGTGTCAGTTTGTGTACCAGTTGAAATGGTAAAAGCCTATTACTATGGCAAGCATTGCCTCCTGTACAAGGGGGACCTCGGTTACATCAAGTCAGTTTAAGTGGATAGAATATTCTCAAAGCATCTTTTAAATCATAATAAATGTAGACTAAATTTAACCAAAAAATGAACAATGCGAAGTAAAGAGGGTGAATTGCACTTTGAGATGTTTAAGTATGCAATAATTATTACGCAATTTCTTGAAAGGAGAGTGGCTAGATGAGGCGAGTATGGACGCAATGGAGAACATGGCATGGGAAGTGCTAATAATGTAAACAGATTAGCTTGAGGCAGACGGGAAAAAATAAAAGACAAACGCGATCTAATCAAAAACATTTACTCAGGTTTTCAATTATGAATTAATTAATAAAGGCACACAATCATAATGCGGCATGGTAATTACTACAGTGTTTACAATCATTTGCTGTGTGCAGAAAATGTAATGTTATTGTCTCTTCATTAATTGAATATGCGGATTCCAGTAATTCATTACCATCTCGTGTTAATTAGCACTAATATCCATCACAATTATCATCATGATTCTCCTCATTATTATGAGTCACTTTCCACTTTTTAGTTGGAGGTTTTCGTAAAAGTTTAGCATCACACAAAACAAAAAGAATTGTTCAGTATTATTCGTTGACAAAAATACAACAGTCTCCACAAAATAAATAGACTCACTGTTTCTGCTTCTTGATTCACAGTCACATATACAGCCAACCATATACATCCAGATTGTATTGCATTGACTCGCACAGACACCGACAGACTCACACAGAGACTCACAGACTCACATAGAGACCCACAGACTCACATAGGGGACCTATAATGGCTCTCCAAAAAAAGCATGGCCCACTGTTTCTGTACAGCATCTTGAGATGTGGTCACACTGAGACACGATATACTTAAATCCAAACCGTGTTGTCTGAAGGACGTTGCCGAGTAAAGACCCAAAGCATCGAGCGGCCAGCAACAAAGTGATCCGGCCAAGTTGTAATTCATAAGAACGGACGACTTTATTCAAACTGAGCAAGGTTATTATAAGAACTTGGCAAAACAGAGGATGAAAGGAAATTCCAAAGTAGAGTAGTGGCGAGGTGAACAAGCAAAAAGAGGGTTAATTGTTTTTTTACCCTTTTATCTGGCAACAAAAATGACACCTTTTTTTTACAAGGAGTCATGTTTGCATTGACCACAATACCTGCGGTCGAAATGCAAACAAAAAACACAACTCTGATAAATGTATGCACTCTCCTTGAAATTGATTGGCCTAGTCTCACATGGTGTTGGACCAGATGACGCCAAAAGACGCACAACTCAAAGACAATCCACCATCAGAGTATGAGAGCTCGGGGTAAGCATTTAAAAAAAAGAATAAATAAAAGGTGTCAGTTTTGTTGCCAGATAAAAGGTAAAAAACCATTATCATATTTTGCCACTGCCAAAGGAGGTTCCAATGGTGTAACAAGTAAACCCGTAAAAACAAAGTTTTTCACTATAAATCCTTTATATGCGTGGCGGCGAACTTAATATAAAGGATTTAAACATATATTCGCCTGTGGAGGACGCGGGGATCGATCCCGCGACCTTTGGCATGGGAAGCGAGGGCGCTACCAACTGCGCTACTCCGCCACGGCCTGTGGAGGGGTTACGCTCTGGGCTCTTACACTGTGACGTTCAGCCAAAGCCATGAATGCGTTCTATTTGAATATATGTAAAATAAAAAAATTTTGCCTAAAAAGTGTAAAATTTTGGGAATTTTTTTTCACGAACAATAATTGTCTGGCACAACGAGTCTGTGTGGAAAATGTCAGCTCGATTGGATCACGGGAAGTGGGTTAAAAAACGACCGAAAGATTTGCACGGTCCTAAGCAAGCAAGCAAGCACGCAAACTTAATATAAAGGATTTAAAAAGAGGGTTGTTGAGACCTGCGGTTCGGCCGTTGAACACACACATCATGGGTGAGATGGAAACAGTCAGTCTGACTGGTAGATTGAGTTCTCAACAACTGGGTGGACGAATCAATGGGCGAAATTCAGAGGAAGAATTCGAGTTCAGTGCAGGCTATTGCACTCAGGTGAATTACCTTGCAGTTGCTCTATCAGTGTCCACGCCATGCGGGACCCACTTGCATCGAACACGACTTGACCCTTTCAACACAACACAGCGGTCGCCATACAAGTCAACAAGTCAAGTTACAAATGAGTCATGCGCACAGTTTTCAGGGATTCTTTTCTCGAGGTGCGGGGGAAACCGCAAGACAATCAGGGACGGCAGCCAGAACTGATGTCAATAATTGCCCATGATTCATTCATGGAAGCAGTTGCTCCATAGCAGAGCAGATGCACTCAGTGGTTTTGGCTCTTTGGAAGCACAAGAAGAAGATGTTTTGTTTTGCCACCCCCTCCACCTTTCGACTTGTGAACTCGTAGCGAGATGACAAAAGCAACATTGATAAGACAGTGATGGAGCACGACAAGAGACATGCAGATAAAAGATTGAGATGTCATAAGATGATGATGATGATAATAAACTCGTTTTTCGACATCGCAATTCGCGGGAAGGCCTCAAAGCGATTCACATGAAGCTTGTTAAGTTACGGAAAAAAGCCTGCAGTCAAAACAGATGAGTTTTACGATGCGATTTAAAAAGTGTAACAGACCCAGATTCCTTAATGGACCAAGTAAAACATGAGAAGAGATATTTAGACAGGAGACAGATGGAGTCAACACAAGATAAATGGAGACAAGGTTAGAGGAGTTAACAAGCTATTTTATAGTAAAAACATTTTTTTATGCATCCTTGGGTTTGAATTCTGGCTGATGTTTGGTTCCCTCATATTTTGTTGCATGATTCCTTGACCCCTTCAGCTACTTGGGGCCCGAATACATTTGCTAAAAATTCCTTGTGTCTAGTGCTGCCAAATGGGTGCACTCACTGAAACGCCGCTGAAGGAGGACGAGTTGAGGGCCTTGTAGAATTCATCCGTGATGGCTTTGTTGGTGTAGTTAAAGTCCGCGAGCATCAGCCCGGTCTTCGCCAGCTCACGCACCGTGCGATTCAGCGCCAAGGCGAGCGCCCAGATGGCGTCGTACGCCAGCGGCGCCTCCTGGATCCCGCCCGTCTCGTTGTGCCTCTTGGGCAGACGCTCCTTCAGCCGCTCGATGAACTCATTCGACGTCTGCAAAACCAGTGAAGATGGCAACAAGCGACCACAAAATCGATCACAAATGGCTTTTTTTCTTTCTTAAAATTGTATTTGCCGTAAGATCCGTGCTTTGGTCCAACAATCTTACTCCTTTATTCATTTCGCCCCCCCCCTCTTCTTGCAGCAACGGTTACTCGGGAATGGAATGGATTGTTCTTTATTGTGATCCCCCCCCGCCCCCCCCGATGGTGCAGCGATACGCCCCAGCGGGGAACAAGTCTCCAAATGAAACACCGCAGGATTTTTTCGCAATGTCTCGTTAACTTCGTGGGGGGGGGGGGGGGGTCCCGACTGCTCTGTAGAAATAACCATTTAATCTGCTGAAGAAAACATTTATTTTATGTCGTATCTTAGTACTGGGTACAACAACAACAACTTAGCATTTATTCGGTACAGTTCTGGAACAAAAGGCCTAAACAAAGCTCTTTTTAAAAAATCCAACTGATATGTAGAATAAAAAAAATAAGAAAATAGTAGCTCAGGTCAACAAATAAAACTACATCACGTTTACAATAAATGAAATGGTACGAGGGGGAGCTTAATATTAAACATTTATATCACTGAGACCTCCTTTACCAGTGGCAAAATATAGTAATAGGTTTTTACCCTTTCAACTGGTACAAAAACTGACACCTTTATACAAGGGATCATGTTTGCAATAACCACAACACAAGCAGTCAAAATGCTTGTGTTGTGGTTATTGCAAACATGATGCCTTGTATAAAGGTGTCAGTTTTTGTACCACTTGAAAGGGTCAAAACCTATTACTATAGTTATATCACTCTCAGCAGAACTGAATCAAGTGGTACTAAAACATGAGGTTTTTTGTTTGTTTAAAGTCAAGCCATAGGTGGCCGAGGTCGTTATACTCAAAGCCACGAGCATTGAATTCATGTTGGAGACCAACCTCCAACTTAAACCCATGATCTCTGAGGTATCCTGAAAGAGGGAGTGCCACGGTGGTGAGATGTTAACTACCTCACCTGGTATACAGGAGGTCGTAGGTTCGAAACCCCCCACCCTGACGCCTGCTATATATTTGGAGTGGTCACTTGTATTTTTCTCCGGGTCCACCGGTTTTCCCCTCCACATTTAGAAACAGGCGTTTCGAGTATTTGGCTGCTATAAATGCCCACATGATAAGCCTCTTTGTTAAGCAATCAGGTTTCTGAAAAAGAGCTACATCTTCTTGGTTCTTTCGGTAAAGTCACGTAGAAGGGAAATAATACAATAATAAAAATTAAATAATTCTCACGACGTTTCGGCCACAACGCAAGCAGCCGTTCTCAGGTGAAGAACAGGTCTGTCGGAAAGACAGCGTCTAAATTCAGACGCTGTCTTTCCCGAAAGAACCAAGAAGATGAATCCCTGCAGTCACGAAAGCTTTAAATCTAAATTTAAGAGTTACATCGCTCAGTAGGCCTTACCTGGTAGTAAAAAAAAAGTTTCATGGTTTAGTTTAGACATCACCCCTTGAGCCACGCCCTACTCGAGAAGGTATGCATCAAATGTGCCCCGATGCATTGCCTCACTTACATGATTTATAATGCTACCATCTACCAACGTTGGTTTGGTTCGCGGTTATTATTATTACATGAACCGTCACATATACAGGCATTTTAGAATAATCACAACTGCTGACAAAATTCCACGAAGTCCTCTATTCCTCTGTATATAATTAATCATACATTCAACCTGCACCTTCGCCATGAACCAGCAAGAATAACTTGTTGACACTGTTAACCAAATATGGCATTTTATTCATACAGTCAATCGTTTTCCTGTAATAACAGTTGAACACCCATTGTGTCCAGGTGACACTTCCTCCAGGAAAACCAGGGTGAAATAAAGCCCTCCCAATGCCGTGTCGATCATGGGAGTTGTTTGACCATGCATCACCAAGCTGGTCAATGTGGGTTGGTGAAGGGGAGGTGGTGCCCAGGACTGGTTCACATGACCAGTTCACATAACACCCAGCACTTATGTTCACCATGGCCAGTAATTCAGATCAGTGGATCCATAGTGCATTGCGCTAACTGTTATGCTCACTACTCCACGTCAGCAATGCATAATTTGAAAAAAAAAATAGTTTAGAGGCTTAACGAGTTCAAGACAGGATGAAGGCCTCCTAATACCAGGTTGAGTCATGCGGTTTGGTTAAAGTTGTGAGTGTGATCAATACGCACTTGGAACTGTACACGATTCGGTGCTTTGGAAAAAGTTTCCCTAGGATTACAAAGTCTAAAACGTTTTGTCAAGCAATGCACTGAGCGATTGGAAAGTCATCACTGACAAGATTAACGATGATCAATGCCGCAATGCATTATCACGGCGCAGCATGCAATCAACACATACGGCTTTTCCATTGTGATCCGTGCATTAGGTCCATCGATAAAAACAACTAAACAAGTCAAATTGTTTATTTTGAGCTGTACAGTGAGAATCACGTTAGCGATAAATGTCATGAAATGTAGAATAGCACGCAGGAAAGTAGTAATTATAGCATTGACATTAATTTGCGCTTTGATAAGAGTTACATTTTTTTGCTGATAAATAATTCAGAGCTCTTTGTCAATCGAGTGGTGGATGAAGGCCTGCCCGTGCGTTATTGGTCATGGGGTTGTTTGACCATACTTCACCGCACTGGTTAGTGATATGACTCATCACTGGCATTCATCTGGCTAGATATCGAAGTCAGGTCGGTGGTTTATAGCGTAGTGTGCTAACCACTATACCACCGCTCCACCCTTTTAGATGATATACGAACTCAATGGATCAGGCTTGCAATGATTCATCATCGCTCCACAATTCATTGATTTGTCACAATTTGCGACAAAAATGTCACGGTCCACGTAGAATTTCGAGTGGTATGGTCTCTATCAAAATGACAGGCCATAATTTACGAGACGATTTCATAACTCTGGATAATTTGCAACCTCTTCCTGGTGTGTACAAAGTCAAAGCTAAAGGCGCAGCCCTGCAATTTCTCGCTCAAGCCACCGCTGGCGAAAGGCCCTCCAATTAAAATTATCTCTAGAGAGCCCCTCCACGCGTGTTTGTGGAAGAGATTGGAGTATCCACACTTGACATCAATACGCAACGACCTGCCCATTCGACTGCCTTGTTACCCGTTTACACTGCCGGGTGGACAGAGCGATTGGAGAAACTCGCCACATCGTTGCAACCGCTTTGCCTGGAGAACTAATCGAACTGGCGACTTCTGGACTGCACGTCGAGTGCGCTGGCCGTTACACGTTCCGATATTAGGAAGCCACTGGAGCCATGGCACTTTTAAATCATCTAGATTGAAAACGAATTTCTTTAGAAATGCTTTTTGCTTTTCATTTGTCCTTCCCTTGCACCCCCAATTAGCACGGTTAGCTACATTCGGTGTGAAAGAAGGTCAACATACATACATACACCACGGCAACGTATCCCAAGCCTGCAGAGTCATTATTATTTAGATTATTTTGCTGCTACAAATTTCCACATGATAACTTCGTTGAGCTATCATGTGCAGCCAGGTCACTTGTGAAAAAGTAGCTAATAGCTCAGCGGGCTTTACCTGGTAAGATAACAAATAGTTGAGTTTTATTTTATATATTTTTTATGTGATTTGTTTACCTTCCATATAATATGCACTCCGATTGTATTTTTGTATTGTGCTGTATTGTTGTTGCTGTCACGTTCTGACCCGCCCCTACTGGTCATCTGTGAAAATAGAGCTTTATAGCTCGTCAGATTCTGCCAATATGAATAAATATCAATGATTCTCATCGTTGGAGATGCCCCTGGGGTTCTCGGGGTTGAACGTAAAAAACAAACGTAAAAAGGTGTCAGTTTTGTTGCCAGATAGAAGGGTAAAAAAACAATGATCATATTTTTACTGGCAAATGAGGTTCCAATGGTTGAACGTCACTATTGATGAATGGCACGAAAGGCCGGCGGGTACCATGTTGGAGATGCCCCTGGTGTTCTCGGGGTTGAGCATCACTATCTCGGTGGTGACGTGGCCCTCCACCGCCTCGGCCATCTGCTCCGCCGTGCAGTTCACGGCGTGGTCCGACTTCAGGAACCAGTTGTCGGCGTACCAGCCGATCAGAAACCACACGTGCTTCTTCCCGAAGAGCTTCTCTTTGTAGACCTGCGGGGCGCAGGGACGGGTAAAATCGGCACGGCTCATCTACAGACGTGAGGCCCACGCGCGCCCGAGTCGTGTGCTGACCGTGTTGCCATCGTGCACTTTGTAGGAAGCCTTTGTAAATCTGTAAAGGTGGAACATCGGGATACTGTAGTGTGGCCTCCCCGACTTGGCACAGCTCGCTATAGGTTACCGCCCCAGCGTGTTCCTTGTTTCATAATTCAATGTTGCCAGTGGGGTGAAGCGCCGACTTATTTTTGGAATTCCACGGCAAAATCATTCACGTAGCACAAGGATCCTGCTGAGAGTTATCCAAACTCACGTCCGGATTTACATAATTTGCCGCAAAGACTCAGTGTTTAGCAGGCAGAACCATCATTTTTGCACTTTAACGATTCATTAAGTGAAATAACAACACCAAATCTTAAATATGATTAAAGCTGTGATTTTTTTGCATTGCATGTCATATGTAAAATTGTATTTAATTAATTACACTGGAGTCAACATTTTACTATTTGTGCATTATACGCATGTCGACGCATCCATTTAAATTATTCATCAGGATCAACCCGGTTTTTTTAATGATGTACATGATAGGTACTAATCATCTTAATTATGTTGTTAAATGCACAGCAATGTAAAGCTGATTTTTCTACAGCGTAATAAAATACACAATTTGTACATTTTCCTCCAAGTTGTGAGATCAAATTCGTGCCAATTTGTGTCCGTGTTCTAGCAGCGCTATCCTGCCACAAATTCTCACAGGGAAGTCTCCGGAGATCCACATTCCAAGAACATTCATTGTTTAGATCATCCCCCAAAAGAGCGCTGTAAAAAAGCCAAATGTTCCTATGCCCTGTCACAATTTCACTGCTGTGTCAAGGAAAGCACTTTTTTTTATTTGCAAGCTGCCATCCATTGCCCGGTGCCCTTTTATCTTCGTGCCTTGCTGTGCTCACATGGCCTGCGCCTGTACAGTGTTATTATTATGCCCGGTATAGTGTGTGCTGCTGCTGCTGCTGCACAGTGTGGTGCACCATAAAAAAGAAAGCACTGAACGCTAATGGCCGCAGAAAAATCACAAAGCCCAAAAAGATCCCCCGTAAAACCCGAACAGACTGTTGGGGCAAGTGCTGTGAACGACCACCTATGAAGGCCGGCACGGCACACGAGGGCGTGGGTTGCCCACACCACGCCCGTCCCCCTTTGTCTCCCTAGTGGCAATGTTTACACAACGCGCCAGGTACTCATTTGAGGCTGCGTCGACCTAGGGAAGGTCCAGGACCGGCTCAGATAACCGTCACTTGTGTTGACCGGGAGCGGAAGGCAAACTCGGGTCGCTAGGTTCGTAGCGCAGCCCACAAGCACGCACGCACACAGACGGCTTTTTGTTTTGGGCTCATACACTGGTGACCCAGCAATGCACGTTGGAGGTTTCTGTTATTTCTACACATTTATTTATTCATTAGATTCACCCGCCGAGATGTTTGAGGGACAAAAAACGAGCTGATGAGGTGGGCACCCCCCCACCCCCACCCCTTTAAAAACAAATATTACCGATGGATGTGGAATATTGTGCCGCGGAAAATGGTGCGCGTCCACCGCACCATGTTCTACCGCGGAGTAAAAAAAAAGGAAGGGAATTATCTTTTAAAGCCCGACAGCCTACACGCGTATGTCCCCCAAAAATGTGCTCATGACATTGCGGAGGTGGTTGGGTAGGACACGGACGTGCAAACCTCCGAATGCTGGCAGACCCGTAGCCTGTGTGTTCAGCAAAGCCCCTTGTAATGCGTCCCTTAGTACCGCAAATCCTGATTCAGTTCCGAAATATGAAATTTGTGTTTCGATTTAAAGCTTTCGTGACTGCAGGGATTCATCTTCTTGGTTCTTTCGGTAAAGTCACGCAGAATGGAAATAATAAAATAATAAAAATAAAACATAATAAAATTATTCTCACGACGTTTCGGCCACAACGCAAGCAGCCGTCCTCAGATGAAGAACAGGTCACAGAATCTGTCTTCTCGACAGACCTGTTCTTCACCTGAGGACGGCTGCTTGCGTTGTGGCCGAAACGTCGTGAGAATTATTTTAGAATGTTTTATTTTTATTATTTTATTATTTCCACTCTACGTGACTTTACCGAAAGAACCAAGAAGATTAAATTTGTGGTTACAAAAGTCTGCCACGCAATCCACGTAAAGAGTGCACACGCTTGATCGAGCTGCTATCACCGGATCGTGTTGAGTAAAAGTCTGCCACGCAATCCACGTAAAGAGTGCACACGCTTGATCGAGCTGCTATCACCGGATCGTGTTGAGTATGGGTTTGGCTGCTCAGCACAGCTGTTAGGGGCATTTGGGGTAAGCAAAGTTTGTTCCCGAGAGGAAAAGTAAAAAAGGCATTATACTTACAGCTCTCAAAACACCCCATCTTGCAATGGTCTATAACTTATGTAGAGTCTATATTATACGAATAAACAGTGGAAATTCCATCTCGCACAGATTGTACAGCATGCATTAATCTTCTACTAACGTCAGCTTACTGAAAACATCTCGGCTGTAAAAATTCTCATTAAATCTTGACAAATCTCACGTTAAAACAATGACATTATTACCAAACTTGAAATTGTTATAACATGGGTAAAAAACATGTTTAATAGAAAAAATAAAATATCTGAGGATAAAGTAATTTCCCACTGAGGTGGTTAGGTAATGATTACTATGATTTAAGTGGTTAAAGGAATGTGTGAATTTGGGATAAAAATGCACACTGAGTGCCCAATTCAAAAAGCTTAGGGAACACATCTCTTCCTTAACTGAATGTAGTAAACATGCCACAAGAGCTTATGAGACGGCAACTAAAGAAATGCTTTTAATTTTACATGTTTTTTCCCTTCTAAATATATACCCAGCAATCACATGCAGCCACCACAAGGCCGTTCAAGTGATGTATCGCATTGCTCAGTTGTTATAACCCTAGCTCATGTAGTGGATGTCTCACATTCACATTAGTTTTTTGATGTGATGCTCTAACAGCATTGATCTAATTCAGGAAATATCATCCATGTTCCATCTTTGAAAAAAAAAAAGATATATAAATTATGCAGGCCCCCGCACGGCGCATTTGCAATTCAAATTTGCCTTCAACAGCGTCGGCTTTATTTTTGTATCACTCAAGAGCGTGCGCTAAAGAACTTAAAATTGTATTCATTTATTTACTCATTTTCAAAGCGAAACATATGATGACTCGAGCTTTTAGATACTGCACGCTGAAAATGTGCCTGGACGGCTGCACAGAAAGAAAAAAAAAGTATTTTATTTATTGACAGCAGATGGCTTTTGTTGTTGTACATATTCATTTTTAACGCGAAAGTGGAGTTACCTCGCAGAACACCCGGCGAGCCTCATCCTCGTAAAAGAGGCCGACGATGATTCTGGCGTCTTGACGCTGAGAAGTATTAAACATAAGACACACGGGGGGGGGGGGGGGGTGGAGGAGGTGTTTTAAATGGTGGCATACACTGATGGTACGTGTTACTATAGAATATTTCCAGCGGCATGCTCAGTGTGTCAGTAAATCGTGAAACTGAGTCAAGGTGGCAGGCAAGCCAGTTAGCAAGCTCGTAAATTGACATGAACATGAAAGAAACGCACTGTTGTACTTATGATCAGCGAGAGAAAATATATGTTCTTCTTGAATAACAAATGACAAACTAAACAGGCAGATGAGTACTCTTAGGTTTGTTTCGGTAAAGTCACGTAGGTAAAAAATAAAAAATAAAAATAATAGAAATAATAATTTAAATAAAATAATAAATCACGACGTTTCGGAGGCAACACAAGTCTCCGTCATCAGGTGGGACCGTCACAGCTAGATTTACTGTCTCAAGTGAAGCAAAAATCCAAGAGGCAAGCTCTTAAAAACAAGTTAAGGGGGAGGGGAGGCTTATCTGAATGTGGTAGCCAGGGAATGGCACGGGGGGGGGGGGGCTAAAAGAGAACAATGGTGCATATCGACTCAGGGTTGTGGTCGGTGTTAGCTGATAATAAGCATAAAATGAAGCAGTACTGTTAAACGCTGGGGATGTCAACACTCGGTAAATTAGAATAGTACCTGTCAAATAAGATGGTACAAATATGTGTAGTTAAATCTTTTTTTACATGGTTAATAACATCTTTCCAATGATTACTCAGTTTGTACCCATCATCACGGTTGAAGTTATGTCTGTGTTTGTATATCTGGACGCAGATGAGTATTTTGCTGATCAATTGTACAGCCAGTGGAAAACTTTCATCACAGGATCAATTTCCAACAGACGAGTGTTTACATTTGTTTTTGAAAGTCAAGATAACTGTCATCATCTTTGGTTCTTTCGGTAAAGTCACGTAGGTATACAATAAAAGAAATTTAATCACGACGTTTCATATCCGCATCTCCAGTTTTCTTCAGCCTGCTACTCCCAGCCCCGCTTACTTCCCAGCCCGGGCATTTTGCTGTACTTGCAGCATCCCCATTCGCCCTACCCCACACCCCCACCCTCTCTATCTCTCCTCCCTGGCTCCTCCCCCCTCTCTTACCTATATAGCCTCTTGTCACAAGCACCCCATTTTGCCAACTTCAGCAATTGTTTCTTGCTGTGGTTGTCCCACCTGATGACGGACGCTTGTGTTGCGCCCGAAACGTCGTGATTTATAAAATTTTCTACCTACGTGACTTTACCGAAAGAACCAAAGAGTATGGATCCCTGCAGTCACGAAAACTTCAAATCTAGAAAGATAACAGTCAGCCATGTGGCTCAGCGGTAGACTTAGTGGCGCGAAGTGAGACTTGTCTGAGTTCAAATCCTGGATGGGGGGTTGGCTCAGCCCATCAACCTCTGGGGTAGATAAAATAGATACCATTTTGTTGCAAATTCAGTGGTTTTATTTTAAATACGAGATCAATATTCATGGTGTGAAAGCAGTGGGATTTTGTTAAATAACCATGAAAACAAATCCTCGCACTTTTTGTCTTTAAGAGATATATAAAAACTCCAGCACACATCGCTTTTACCCTGATAATCCCAAATAATATCCTGAAAGAGCACATCTCTCAATTTTACTCCCATAACGAGCGCGCACACCTTTAAGTAATTGTGCACGAGAACAAAAAATACTGTATCCATTCCTCGATAAATATAACCTCATGTTTTTATGATCCTCAAAGGGCATCTATAATCACGTCCATTTTACGATGCATTCAACAAGAGCCTCTCAAAATGCAGAAAAGTTGTCGCTTTCCTCAGGCAGTTTCCAACATGTTTGGGAAAATCAAAGTCAAGGTTTCCCCTGAACCCCCAACCTCACCTCACAACGGCCTTTGATGCATTACTTCCCTCATTATTCCATATTCTTGGAAGAATCGCAAAGTGCTAACGTCAGGGAATTACCTGTCTGCCTGCTATTGCGCATGATACTTGCCAAATGATTTTCAAAGCTCAACACTCCTCTTTCGAGATGAGATTCTTTTCCAGTAACATTATTTGTACATATTTAGAACATTTGTATGAAGAGTTTAGGAAAGTTATCCAAACAAAAAGGTGATGTTATATGATGATTTTTTTTCTCGAGCCAGTCCCACAACTGTTTTGCATTTTGGTAATCCAAAGAAACTTTCTTTAGATAGCTGCCTGACTCAAACGTGATGGGACAACGTAACACGTAAACAGGAGGCTTTCACGACCAATATTAGGATTCATAATTTAATCTTGAGTCAGATCACCGTGTGAGTAACACGCGCGTCGTCAACTCTCCTCCACCCGACACAGCCAATTAATAAAGCTATCACGTGATGAACAAACGTGCAAAAATGATTATTGATTTAGCAGAGCGGCTGGTGTTTATGGCAGCAATTGTACCAAGCTGTTAAATGCGTGTCAATTGCTCTCCAGAACACCGCCGTTGTGCTGGAGCATTAATAAATTGGCACGTTTGTCCGCGTGGCAACTTTATTGTCTGACCGTTTCGGGTGGAGGAGGGTTTACGACACACGGGTTTTAGTGACGCGTCAATCTGACCAAAAAAAATCTGTTATGAATCGTGGTGGAGTGATTGCCCCATAAACATTGGAGAAGCAGATAGTTGAGATTTTATAGTTCCACCTGTTCAGTGGACCGGTAATATGGTTTTATTCCTTGATTTTAGGAACTGGTCTTAGTTATATATGATTAAAAAATATATGCATTGCCTACGGCACATTGCTTTGTTAATATGTTAATGTAAATGTATTGTAGGTTATATGTTCTAAGCAGGTGGGCATTTATGTAAATTATATTCTATGTCAAGCACACTGAAACACCTTCTTAAATGTGAAGTGCACTATATATGTACCAATTGATTGATTTGTATTTTTTTAAGGACTGCGGAGTAACTTTGGAGATACGTGTACATATAATGCCTTGCTTGTGCTTGCTTTATCTTGATGTGCAATGGAAAATGCTTTTACACGATACCGTGACTGCTCTGTGTAGTAAATTAACCGCGTGAAATCAATTGGTCAATGGTGACTTGAATCGTGACGACTAATCTTTATAAACCAAAGCACAAACTGCTCGTGAAAGCAAATCGTTCCAAAGTAGGCGAAACGTATACCGTAGTATGCTCAAATTATTGACAAATGTCATGGTAATTATCTTCAGTTCGCAACTGCTTTTTGTTAATTATGACGTGGAAAGCCTAGCCGTATATTTGAGTAGCAATACATGTGTAGTCTTGTAAGGGACGGACTTCTAAACTTCTTTATGGCACACACTGTTTATTGTCTTAATACACAGTCCCTATCACACAAAGGGGTATATGGTCCCCTCACCCGTTACCCTGAGGAGGTACAGCCTCCGGACCTTGTACAGCTCCACACTCACGCTTAGCTCCTATTCTAAGGAGGTACAGCCTCCGGACCTTGCAGGCTATCTAATCTCCCTGCTATCCCAGCGTCCTCTGGCTGGACCTAGGGCATCTCTCCCCGAACTCTGGTTACACTGAGCCCTAGCCCTGACAAGGGCTGGAGGGCTTGGTCCAGGGTCTTAGATGTATTCGGCCGACTTGGGTCTTCGTGTAGCAGAACCGGCCAAGAGCTCTCAGCGCTCTGGCTTTTATACCTGTTCGTGGCCGGGTTGTCCAATCCCCGGCCACCTTGTGGAACCCTCCGATTGGTCCTTCCCAATCTGGCGTTTGGATCCTACCTCACCCCATTTGACCCTGACCGTTTGATTGAGCGGGACAACCTTGTTTACGATCCGCTCTCCCACAGTTTGCGAACAGCGAGTAGTTATCACCACTACACATGCACAGACATTTTGTCAATCCAGTGGTGGATGAGGGCCTTCCGATGCTGGCGTAGATCACCGGGGGGGGAGGGGGGTGGTTATTTGACCACTGGTCGGTGCAGGTTAGTAATCAGGATCAGAATCTGTATTCATCCTGGAGTAATCCGATGAGCTATGAAGCTCTTTTTCACAGATGTCCAATAGGGTGAAGATTGGGGGCAAAGGAATTTGAGTACAGGAGAGTAAAACAATGGATTGTGCTGCACTACCGTTTAATACACAAGTTCGTTTTTGATCCTCCTAAAACACATTCCTGCGGAGGGAGCTGGTAGGAACGTTGGGTTGCTCTGTCAATGGCCAGGGTCAACGGCGGCGTGGTGCATTCCGCAAATATGGCCGACTGCGAGGGCGGGCACAAGCTGGCGTGAGTAGGTTAAACGTTGAGTTTTCTAAGGGCATCACGGGGTGACCAGCCCCTCCCCACCCAGCCCCACCCCTCCCACCCCCCCACCCAGCCCCATCCTCCCCACCCAGCCCCTCCCCACCCTCCCCTCCCCACCCTCCCCGCCCCACCCAGCCCCTCCCCACCCTCCCCACCCAGCCCATTCCCCACCCTCCCCTCTCCACCCAGCCCCACCCCTCCCATTTTTGGATGCACGACGGATGGACGGACACAATAATCCCCTGTGGGCTGGTGTAACCAGGAGGTTCCTACCAGTATAAATTGTGTACCTGTGCTTTAACGTGTAGTAACAGTACTGTATTGTGGATGGGCGTGAGCCACTGCATTGGCAAACACATGGCATGTTATATGGGTATGGGAGCAGTGATGGGAATTTTTGGATGGTCAATTATGGCTTATGTTAATTTTTCTAGCACCCACTGTGAAGCCTACAACTTAACCCAGACAATGTCCCTTCTCAGCAATTCAGCGATGATTGCCCAGCATGTACATCATGCCCTCCTGCACTACAGCACTGCCAGATGGACCATTAGAGCTAATTTGAAGAGACAGTATACCAATAAAACTCCCATTAACTCTCTTCACTACGGGGATTATCACAAACCTTTAGGGCCCTCCTCGATGCAGTGTGTACGTACACAATCCACCACACTATGTGGGACTGATGTTATCATTAAGACTCACGTCTTGGATAGTAGCATTACACTCTTGCCAGTGGTTCTGTGCCTAATGTGTATTTGGCATGGCAAATATTGCACTTGTGCAATTTACAAAACATGTACGCTTGCATATGGTGGGACATACTTTCTTTAGGAAACTTCAAAAGAGAGTCAAGTGATTCGTGGCTCAAATTATCATTATGCTGGTTCTTATCTCCTGATTCCAGCTGGAAATTCCACATTCCTATAGTGGGGGGGGGGGGGGAGACTTTCTCAACAGCACGACCACTCTTCACTCCCCAAAAAGTGTTTACTCATTTTAGTAACCTCGGGCTGGATGATAAACTGAGTCAAACCCCAACCAAGATTTGAACTTGCAACCTTCCAACCTTCCAATTGCGAGCCGCTCACTCGAATGCTGAGCCACCTGGCCCATAGGAGAAACGTTTAATGTGAGTTAAAAGTAGACCGCTGTTGAAAGAAATGCAACTTAAGAGCTTTAGCAAAAAGCCGTGATGTAATATTCATCCATAAATTTTAAAATATATTCACGAGCCCATTTTTCTCTGAAGCAGCAATTATTTGTATTCCTCGGCGTTCTCTATTTTCTGTAACGAACACGTATCTGGAATCTCCCTGCGCATGCTTTATGAGCGCTCAGTTTTCACTCGGGGGCCCTTTTCTGCACTCAGAATACTACACAGTGATATTAATTGAACATGGGCAATGGATTCTAAACGGTGCTCAATGAAGGAATTTAAACAATTAAAAGACGAGCCACTACGATGCGACTGTGTCCACGCAACCCAAACCATGGACTATACAGTATACCGCTGTAATCTTCAACGGAGGAACAGCACAACTACCCGAACTCTTTCCTGAAGGCATCTCGTGGCCAGCAGTCCTCGCGCGTTGGCATTTACCTTCGGAAAACATTGTCACGTGCAAGAGGAAAACAGAATGAAGGAGCTTGACACTGGCCACTTGAGCACCGCTCACTGCTCCCCTACCCTTGTGGGAGCTGCCAATTTCAGGTTACTGAGCTGCAACGCTGCAGACAAGTGCACAGACACATCTAAACACCTCGGCTATTTCTAGCTTGGACTGGCAGCAGCTCTAAATAACCTTGCGAATGGAGGCTGGGGGAAGTAAACGATTTGGTCTACTGCTAATCCCATGGGATGAGAGTGGGCCCCCGGTGCTTGCACATCCTCTGTCGGGCATAATCTCATCAATCATTAAATTTCAGAGCAATTAAGCAGGCATTTGACCAACAGTACCAAGTTCCAGTTCTGAGTCTCTTGTTGTCGATATAAACGAGGGAGCCCTGCTGGATATTATTCGACCTTGAAGGGTTTACGTGGATTTTAAGCGAAGGGAGGAAGGGGGGGGGGGATGAGTTAAAATTTCAGTTCAGAGACCACCGTTCCGCATTAACCGTAGACAACACGGAATCAATAATTAAATGTCGTGTTTTGTTGCTAATTTAGCAAAAATCTGCGTAATACTGTCTAACTTAAATATCGAAGTCGTAAAGAGGCCGTAAGGATTTTTTTTTAAAGGAACGTGTAATCCCCCCCAAAAAACGAATGTTGATTGAGTTTTCCAAATGCATAACCTTGGCTGCATGTCCCAGGTTGTCCAGCACGTGTTTGAGTGTCTCATTCATAAAAAACAACAACAACAACTTTAAAGTCCCATTAAGCAGCATGCTATCGCAGGCATCGCTGCAGTTTCCAATTAAATAATGTTAATCACACCCACGTGGTGTGGTGTTATATCAGAGTGCTACAGTGCAGCACCCGGAAGACGCCTTAATTTAAAAAAAAATCTAAGTGTTATACTCGCGTCAGACAGCCCCTTTCGTGTGCGTCGGTAAGATTTGCGCTATTTGTCGTGTTTTTCGGTCTGGAGTTGTCGAAGTAATGACGGGAATGTAGCGGTTTACCTTCAAATTTTTGACAGCGACGGACGGATCAGACAGAAAGCTCTGGCGAACGTTGATCTCGATACCAGCCTCTTTGACTCTCTCCTCCAGGTCTGCCAGGGTCTGGGGGAATAACAACAACAAACAGAACGTGGAAAATTCCACAGTCGCAGTAAAGGAATTACGAGAGCAACGTGAGTACACCGGAGACGGTGATGACAACACACTCACCTCTCGTTCACGTATCGCACGAACCATTTAAAAAGTCCCCCACCCACCAAACCCCGCCCCCCCACCAAAAAGATTATCGTGTTAAACCATTGCATGAGATCCTGTGTCCGATGCTGCAATCATGTTGGCTGTAATAGTGAGCATTCATTTAATTTGGCTGAAAATTATTCAGCGGGAATCGCCGCATTTTCGCCCAAGATTTTGTCAGAGTTGTAATTGAAACGCGGGTGGACAGATGAAAAACAATTGGCACGACAAGCGTCGAAGCCACAGCAGCACGAGTGTGCTTTGAGCTCGCGAAACACGAGGCACAGATGATTTTCGTGAGAATTCTACACTGCAGCTAGTTTGTTTCTTATTTCTAGGTAACATTAAACGTGATCGGCTGACGTGTATTGGGAAAATTGAAGAGCATTAGAACGGCACATTTCATTTCAGTTTATCGTTTTGCAACTCTAAAAGTCTGCCCTGCTTTTTAATGCTTTTCTGAGTTTGTTGAATTATTAATGTTCACCTTGCTATAAACCATTCCTCGTATGCACAATGCTCATGGAAATTCTGCCATTAGATTTTCTCATCAACTAAAGGCCATTCAATGAAGACTACATCACAATAAAATTCCCAATTATGAAAATTACCGCACTACATGATGTAACACCTTTTCATAAGCCATTTGTTGGACACGTTCATACATATACATGTTTTTGATTGCAAAGAAAGGTTTTAAAGCTGACATTGTGCAAAGTGCAGATGCAACATAATTCACGACAGACAATTTCAGGTCTCTAAAAGAACAATTCCCATTTGTCTTTTGGCATTTCAATTCCATGTTCTGGGATTCACAATGTAAAAGAGCAAATGACAATATTCTTAATCAGTAAAACAGGCTGCATTTTGTAAAGCTAAACGTGTAAAGATTTAACCGAAACGTGAACCACATCAGCCCCATCAGAGTTGGAGGGGGCTAGAGGGGGCTGATGAAGCCTGAGCCCTCCGAAATGATGACAGTCAGCATTCGTTTAAAGGTTGCTTAACATTAATTGTGTCATGCCCCCCCTCCTCGCCACCCACCCCCCTTCCCACTTCAAGCAAGGTGAAGTTCCAGAGTTGAACTCTAAATATCAGAATGGCCAAATCTTCAATGCCTGCGCGTGCTGCATGGGTATTTGTGACGTGACGCAGCCTGGCTGATTGTTACATTTGCCCGCACATGATTCTACTTTGCTGGTGTTATTATTGTTGATATTAACTTGCTTACCCTTGAAGTTTCGTAATTAATCATTTGATGCGTCTCATATAGTATGCTCTTATAAGTATTTGCTTATTTAAAATAAACAAGAGTTGTTTCCCCTTCCCCCCCCCCCCCCGAATAACCACTTAAAAGCCCTAACGCAAAGCACGCAATGCAATTTATGTTTATAAAGTGTAACAAATAGGGTTGTGTGGTGCCGGCGTAGGATGCACCTCACGGAACTCCTAAACCTCATCAATCCAGTTGCATTGGGATGTTGCGGCCAACTGGCTGGGAACCGGCTCCTTCCAAGGGAGCACTTGCGTGCAGCGCTCTGAAGGCCCGGAGAGATGACTGGGGATGGGACGCCAGAGTGGCTTAATCAGTGGATGCCGCCAAACACCCTGCATGATGTATAATGTGCATTTCATGGACTGGATTTAGCTCAGTTGCGCTATGGCCAAATGAGAGACCAACATTTGCCGGCAGTGCATGATGCATTGATTGCAGGGGAGCCACATTTGCACGCCCTGTGCATTGTGGATGTGGTTATGGGTACTCAATCTCTTATAATTGTCACGCTAATGTCACTTGGGTGAATAGTCGGCCGTTGTAACTTGTTAACAGCAGCAGGTGATGTGGTTGGAATTCCGTGTTGTGTTCAGAGTCATGGGTGCAGAGGATTCAGTGGTTTGCGAGTGTTAATGTTTGACTTTAAGTACAGCACATAATACTCGCATTTTTTGTGTTTTTTCCTACATCATAGGCGTGCGTTGCTCGGGGTCAATCAGGACGGTGGAATCGAGGAGTGCAGTGGGTTTCTTGCACAGCAATTCACCTCACGGGAGCCGTTTCTAATGTTACATTTCCCCACCAGCAGTGCGGCTGGAGAGAGACCGGTGCGTCGTTTGGTATTTGGTCAGCCCCGCCATCACCAGGCGTGACGGCACCTCTTGCTGGCCAACCCATAGCACATCTACCCCACCTGTGAGCAGGAGCCTCTGGAACCAGTTTGCATCATCCCCTTTTTGACACGTTTCCTCCCCTCAGTCCTTCTCTCCTCAGCAGTTTCCTCCATGGCAGCCATTAGCTCGGTCAACCTTACGGTCGCACTTTCCGCAAAAGCCCATGGGCTATACAATACGACAGTGTTTCTCAACACCGGTTTATAGCAGTACAAGTGGGTACAGCACAGGTCACGCGTGGTGGGGCAAAGTGTGTGGATACTCCGACCTCTTCCAAATGTTTGGCCAGCGTGGAAGAGGAGGCCCAAAAAAACGCGTTCATAAAGGGGTTTTCGAGAGTTCCTCTCGCGGACTTTCGTGAGAAAGGCGTTGCAGGGCTTCACCTTTACCACCTGTTACCATTGCATCTTTGTGTGCGAGGACAGACCCCCCCCCCCCCCCTCCACACACAGACAAAGATCCCCCGTATAGCCTTAACAGACTGTAGGGGCAAGTGCTGTTAGCAAGCACCTATGAAGGCCAGAACGGTCCACGAGGGGGTAGGTGGCCAGCACCACGCCCGACCGCCTCTGTCTCCCCAGTGGCGATGTTTACACACCGCACCAGGTACTCATTTGAGGCTGAGTCGACCTAGGGGAGGCCCAGGACTGGTTCAGATAATCGTCACTGGTGTTGGCCATGAGCGGGAATCGAACCCGGGTCGCCAGGTTCATATGTGTGGTAGTGCAGCGCGCTAACCGCTGCACTACCACACACACGCGCACACACACGTACATCCACATACACACACACAGAGCATCCCCACTGTGGACCCACCGAGGTGAAGACCTCGGCCGTCTGCTGGATGGTGGCAATGCGGGTCCAGCCCCAGGTCTTGAAAAGGTGCACGCGCGTCGGGTTGTGCAGCGTGGCGGAGGGGTGCGTGCGGAAGAACGTGGGGAAGCGCTGCCGGTTGGAGAGCGCCGGGGAGCTGGATCCGTACGACAGCTGGCACGGGCGACACACGCGACAGCATCCAGGGGGAAACGCAAACGCCGTGAACAACATCGGTTCGCTCGTTGTCTCTGACTTTGGAATTAGGATTTCGAGGTTGCTGGCTAAAGAGGGAGATCTCCGGGCCAAGGGATCGAGGCTTCATCCCTGCGAAGATGACGAGGAAGGCAGCAACATCACTCGTTTCGTATAAATCGCAAATTCAGGTGCCTGGAAGCCTCGGGCTAGACGCCCAGGGTAGAATGCCCACATGGACCGCCCCCCCCCTTAATTAATTAGTGACGAAAATAAAAGGCCATTGTGAGGCTCTCCTTTGAGTGAGGCCTGAGGGGGGATACATTTTCCCCTTTTGCTCGTGGGTTATTTATGCGAGTTGAAAGGTGACACGAGATTGACTAGCAGTGGTGTGATGTGAGATGGGAACTTTGTGTGTGTTGGGCATAAGCTGTATATATACGCAGTAGAACCCCTCTTAACGACGGCAATTGGTTGCACGAAACCGGTCGTTAATGATTTGGTCGTTAAGTGAGGCTAGGGAATACACGTTAAAGGCTTAATTCGTTTTGAAAGCATCGAAAGTAAAAAAAAATCACCCAAAAACGTACTTTATAATATTTAAATAGATATGAATACATAAAGATACTAACCACATTATAAACACATCATATTAAAAGAAACATGGTTAATCAATGCATTAATTAATATTTACCTACAACAGCCCGTCGTTAACAGGGGAATGCTTGGTAAGCGAACACATTGGGCTCCATGGAGGCTCGTCGTTTAGCAACTAGTCGTTAACAGGGGTGGTCGTTAAGAGGAGTTCTACACTACACTATACACTACGCTACTATACACTAGACTATACACTACACTACAATACACTACACTATACACTACGCTACTATACTCTACACTACTATACACTACACTACTATACACTACACTACACACTACACATTGGGCTCTATGGACGCCCGTTGTTAAGCGATTATTCGTTAACAGGGGTGGTCGTTAAGATGGGTTCTACGCTACACTACTATAATCTACACTACTATACACTACACTATACACTACACTATACACTACACTACTATACACTACACTACACACTACACATTGGGCTCTGTGGAGGCTCGTCGTTAAGCGATTATCCGTTAACAGGGGTGATCGTTAAGAGGGGTTCTGCTGTACATATATACACACACATATATGAAGCAGTTTAGCAACATTCCATCTGCTGATTATTATTACAGATGGGCAATGTGCTAGAGCTAAAGAGCACCGATATGTATCTGCTTGAAGTGTGCGTGATAATTTTTCCTGCCTACGCGAGAGTGTGAAACGCACTCCAACATCTGTGACAGCTCTCGGGAAATGTACCAACTTGGCTCTAATTCACACGATGGTATTTGTTTTTTTAAAGTAATGCCCCAGGTTCTTGAAAAGACACTTTCCAGCAGACGGCGTGAGAAACATCGGAAAAAGGGGCTTGAACTTGATGGTGGGGGTGCCCTCATTCCACTGCACACGCAGCAGCAGTAGCAGCAGCGAAACTCCGCGACGCGGAAGGCCAATTTCACGACCACTCCAGCCAGAAGTCATTACCCAAAATAGTTTGGCACAATTTTCAATTGTAAAAAAAATGTAATTGACAAAATCTGAACAAATCTTTAATCCCCGCTCCCCCGTGTCAACAATTTTAGTTTCTTTACAAACTCAGCTTTCGTTGGTCAGAAAAAATAAAACTCTGTCACGATACACGACAGTTGCTCATAAGTGAATGCGTTTCTGGTGATGACTGCTAACAACAATTGTCCTACAGCTGCCCTTGTGTATTATGGCATTGATTGACCATCCTACGCACCAACGATGGTATCCGTGAAAATGTATCCCACGCTGAGTGCGTCGGTGCGAGGATAACCCAATCCAATGAAGAAAATCTCTTCCGCAAACATCGCAGGTCATGGCGGAAAGGCGATCGTTGTTAGCATGCACCGTACTTAGCCAACCGATCCGCACGTTTGGCTGCGTACGGTGCGAAAGAAAATCAACACACATTCAACGTGCGTCTGAACAGGTCGCAACCGGAGCGATGCCACCACCCCGCTCTCTACCCAACCCCGTGGCGCTCACCACTATGAGGTTCCACATGCGCGCTGCCTCCGCCACCAGCGTTGAGACGCTGCTGCAGCCCGGCATGAGGACGATCTTGATGGGGCCGTAGTAGAGTAGGTCGTAGAGGATCTTGGTCGCGTGGCCCGGCATGCACTGGGTGGACAAAGACAAAGATCCCCCCGTGTAGCCTGAACAGACTGTTGGGGCAAGTGCTGTTAGCGAGCACCTACAAAGACCGGCACGGCACACTAAGGGGGTGGGTGGCCAGCACCACGCCCGGCCGCCTTTGTCTCCACAGTACACACCACACCGGGTACTCAGTTGAGGCTGAGTTGACCTAGGGGAGGCCCAGGAGCGGTACAGATAATCGTAACTTGGTGTTGACCGTGAGCGGGAATCGAAAGCGAGTCGCAGGTTTCATTGCGCAGCGTAGCGCTAACCACTACACTACCGCTCCCCGTACAGGGACATGCACACACAGACCCACGCGCGTGAACGTGACACGGCGGCTTCGTTTGACAATTGAACCTCATGGCGGGACCCCGGGGTCCCATAAGCCCCCGGCTCTCGCATGAACTGCGTTGCGACGTAATTTTATGTCTGTTGAAGGCGAACGACACGGTGACCTGTTCCTCTTGACGAGCTCTACACGACGCGCTCATCAAAGTTTCAAAGTTTAGTTTCTTCTGCGCATTCGTCCTCGCTGCTGCGCTTGGACACGACACGACAACAGAACGATCCGGGCCAGGTGGGTCGAGGCGTTGATGTGCGCGGTGGGACGAGGTCACCATTAATAAATTAATTACGATTTTGACTTTCGTTTGTTCGGGACCCCGCGGTCCCGCCATAAGGTTCAATTGATGAAATGTAACACAAATGTTTGGATATGGGTGATGCGTCCCACCATGCGTTTGTCCTCGGGATAATTTAATTAGCGGCTACGCGCTATCTGTCGGTGTAAGACGTGTGGGCATATTTTCGGTCACATCTATTGCGCGATTTTTATTTTTCGATTTAAAGCTTTCGTGACTGCAGGGATTCATCTTCTTGGTTCTTTCGGTAAAGTCACGTAGAAGGAAAATAAAAAAATTATAAAAAAAATAAAATGATAATAAAATAAAAATTCTTTTATTATGTTTTATTTTTATTAATTTATTATTGCGCGATTGCTGAGCTGCTACAGGCTCAATACGTTTTTCAGGTTGATGACCAACAATGGGACAGCTCTGCACAATGCGAGCAGGTGAGTGGCGTAACTAGATTGCCAACTCAGGGGGTGCGGCAATCGGTGAGGTGGGAGCCCCCCCAATATTTGATTTTTCGCAATTTACGAAAGCCAAACTTTTCCGCTCTAATCAAATTAAATTAAACGTGGAAACGTAAATGAAAGCATTTTCGTGAAAAAAAATACATTCAAACCGCGTTTCAAATCCGTTTTGTTTTCGTCATTGACACTGTTGTTCAAGTTCAAGTTCATTTATTAGGTATAGCCCTGTGAGCCATTCGGCTCTTGAATCGGGTGCAACCGCAACAAACAAAAACTTGAACAAGAAAACATCTTAAAGTGACTATGTGACTAAGTGCAAACAGAAAATCCAAGAAAAGACAGCTAAATATTGCATAAAAAACACCATACACCAACGCTGTGTGCAAAAATCCCAGTGGGAACACACAGTTGTTGAACACATATCTCATCAAGGGGGGCTCAACTCGTAGCTCTGGCCACCAGAGGCACTCCCCTTGCCCCCCACGCTCAGTACACTCCTGTAACAGGTGTAGGGGAACCCCTTCGCCAGCCCCCCTCGCCATACCATGCTGTCCGTCTCGATGAGCTTCAACTCGTAGTCCGGCAGGAGGTCACGTTTGCCGTTCACGTCGTCCAGTGCCATCATTGCCGCTGGCTTGCAGGCCTGGCCCCCCGGCCAGCTTCCGCTCATGGGAAATAGCCCCCCGATGTATAGCGCCTGCTTGGCTGGCACACAAACAAACACACACAGACAAAGATCCCCGTCCAACGCCGTTTAGCCTGAACAGAATGTTGGGACAAAGTGCTGTCGACGCGCGACCGTGAAGACCGCAACGGCAAAACGCGGTTGGGGCACGTGGCCAGCACCACGCCCGGCCGCCCTTTGCCCAGTGGTGATGTTTAATTCACTGCACCGGGTACTCTTTTGAGGGTGAAATCGACCCACGGTGAGGCCCATGAGCGGGAAATCGAACTCGCGTCGCCAGGTGTCGTAGCCTCGTGCGCTAACCACTGCACCACCGCTCTCCAAACACGTGCGCGCGCGCGCGCAGCCGTTGCTAGGGAGTTTGGTACTCAGAGCAAGATGCCATCCTCGTGCTGCCCCCGTTGCTATGGGTGCCGGTGTAACAGGCCGGAGTATACCCGGGTATATTATGGCATAGGCCAATTTATACTCTGGGGTATATTATGGCCTAGGCCAAATTATACCCCTCTAGGCCAAATCATACCCCCCATGATAGTAATAGTGTTGAGCGATATACACATGAATTACTAAGTTTTTCCAACATTTTATTTAAAACTGTAAACACATAGACTTTGATTGCTTCAAGCAGAAAATGTTTAATAACAACCCTAACCTTATCCCTAACCCTAAAAATGCTTCAATTGATCAAATTGAGATTCTTATTTCCATTTATACGCTTTTTAGATATCGATTGAAGTTCGTTTGAACTTTCACATGGGGAATATTCTGGCCTGGAGGGGGGGTATGGTCTGGCCCAGTCTAGTTTAATCCCCCGGGGGGTATAGTTTAGCCGAGGACACTTTATCCCCCCGGGTATACTCTGGCCTGAGCCAAACTATCCCCGGGTTTAATCGGGGCCAGGGTTATTTTAGCCTGTTACACCGGCATTTGAGCCATCCGAATAGCCGCCACTGCTTGCTTCGATTCCAACAATTCGACGAGACATTTAAACTAAGCTAAAAAAGAAAACGAAGCATTTTTTTTTATTTTACCAGGTGAGACCCAGTGAGCACTAGCACTTTTTTTGCAGAAGCTACCTGGCCACGAATGAGAGCTCAACGAAGTGGCTTATCACGTAGAAATGTATAGCAGCCAACTAATCCAAATGCATGTTTCTAAATGTGGAGGTGAAAAAACCGGAGGACCAGGAAGAAATATCCACGCGACCACTGGCAGAGAGACACACCACAAACTCAAAATATGCAGCAGGTGTCAGGGTCAGGCTCTAACCCACGACCTCCTGTACACCATGCAAGGTAGTTAACATCTCCTAGCCACCGTGATGATGATGATGAGAGAGAGACACGCAAATTCCAAATATACAGCAGCAGGCGTCAGGGTCAGGATCTAACCCACGACCTCCTGTACACCAGGCGAGGTAGTTAACATCTCCTAGCCACCGTGATGATGATGATGAGAGAGAGACACGCAAACTCCAAATATACAGCAGCAGGCGTCAGGGTCAGGATCTAACCCACGACCTCCTGTACACCAGGCGAGGTAGTTAACATCTCCTAGCCACAGTGGCGGTGCCTGGGGAAGCCACTTCACCCGGCCCATCATCCCTGCCCTTGCGATACCACTGCACTGTCTGCACATGTGTGCGGATACACAAACACAACAACAACAACGCCGATGGGTACTGCAAGATCCGACCATGTCTGTCCAGTGATCGTTGAGCTGCATTGGCTTCCGGTTGCCGACCGACTACATAATGAAGTCACACTCATTAAGCACAGAGTGCTTACCACGAATGAACCACAATACCTCGCTGATCTCGTCAAGGTGCATAAACCATCATCACGAAAACTCCGGTCATCCTCGCAGCGCCTTTTGGCTGGCCATCGAACAAAGACGGTCACTGCATTGCGCGCCTTCAGATGCGCTTCTGCGGCCGTCTGGAACGCTCTTCCCTCTTATATTCGGAAGAAACTGGAACTATGACCTTCTAAATCTAGCTTGAAAACTCATTTCTTGAGAACTGCGTTTAGTGTTTAGTTCGTTGTTGTTCCCTCGCACCTCCGATTACCACGGTTGGCTACGTACGGTGCGAAATAAGTTCAACGTACATACATACAGAAGTGGTGGTGCTTGTGCCAGGCTGGTATGCACACACGTGCCCACGAATGCGTTGATGCACACATTAACATACACAGCAGCAGCAGCAGCACAAGCTTCGTGGCTCTTTGAACTCTCATCTTCTCACTATTCACCCAGAATTGCATCTGTCTCAACAAAGTGCCATCAATCTCAGCAACCAAAATCCAATTCTCACTGCCAATTCAGTTGTCGTGCCCACATGTTACGCATTAAAAAATAACACGTACAAATTGTATTATTTGCGCATACATCTTCTACATTTAATTGTGATTAAAGCAATGATTGGATCTATTTTTGATATTGGCTCGGCGTAGTGACACACGCATGTGATCCAGCTCTTTGGAGGCAGAAGGTGGTGGATCAGACAAATGAGTGAACCTCCTAAACCCACTGCACTGTACAGCATGTGGTTTTTTGACATCAATTCTGTACGAAGTTGTACGTTTTATCTCCCCAGTATGCGTGGCCTTTTTCCAGTTACGCTGGTTTTCTCCCATAGATTGTATTTTTGTGCGTGAAATTTTTGGTGCAGTTTATGCACTCCTATCGTTTCTTGTTCGTATTATTTGTTTGTTGTTTTTGTTGTAAGTCGCTGACCCGCCCCCTAATGGACATCTGTAGAAAAAAGAGCTTCATAGCTCATCGGATTCCTCCAGTCTAAAGAATGATTCTGGTGAACCATTTCAATGCAGTGTTCTCCTGCAAACAATAGCCTTGGGAGTGTAACACATAGGCTGAATAATCCATTGTAATTCATATGCATACATTGATCCCCCCCACCCCCTCTGGCCTTCGCACCTGATTGGCTAACGACATCCCATGTATCCCCTCTATTTAAGGAACGAAACAGGAGGATTTCTCCACAACTCTGGCTCTCGCCTGATGATGCTAGTTGTAATTACTGGCGAAACGTCATTCACGAATTGGAAAAATTGTGGGTTTACTCGCCAACACACCGGTGTGCTGTAGTAGTAACGAATTGGCATGTTTTGTTTTTGTGACAAACTTTACTAATTGGTTGTGTCGGGTGGTGGCGGGTTTAACAACACATTTATATTTACTCGATCTAACCCCCAAAATAACTGTATTATGGATGATCGTCTTAAGACTTTGAGGCTTTCCTAAATGAACATAGGCATTATTTATCATTCATAGTGCGATAGTAGCGTCTATCCACCCAGCAATATAAATGAGCACACCACAGTTAGGCAGATTTGCAGATCGCATGCAGCGGGGTAATGCGTGGGGACTCCCATCTCTTCTGAGATATCTTGCCAACGTGGAAGAGTAGGCCTAATACGCTCGGGGGGGGGGGGGGGGGGGCGGGTCCATCTACTGTGGAGGGCCTTCTGCCCAGAAGTTGCCTGAGAAAACAATTTCAGGGCAGCAGCTTTACCTTTGTTCAATGTCCCATATACAGCAAAGCATATCCATGCAAATACTCAATATACAGCGTTTCACACACACAGTCGGTGTTTTCCTTGTCTCCCTTGTAAAATATTTAAATGGACATAAATACATTTTTCAATAACAGACCACCCCATACTCTGACCTGTCAATCATCTATTACTGTCTACGCGTTCCAGAGACAATGGTTGCTAGACGACCTGATAACGCCACGTAAGGATCAAGTTCTTTTGCGCTGGTTTGAGTGACGAGGGGTTGCCGCTAAATCTCATCCTGTGCATGCCAACGCCCTGCGTACGTATGTATATTGAACTTTTTTCGTACCATACTTAGCCAACCGTAGTAATCGGAGGTGCGAGGGAAGGACAACGAACAAAACACAAAAAGCAGTTCTCAAGAAATGAGTTTTCAATCTAGATTTAAAAGTGCATCGTTCCAGTGGCTTCCTAATATCGGAAGAAAGAGCGTTCCAGACGGCCACATAAGCGCATCTGAAGGGGTTTGATGCGGTGACCATCTTTGTTCAATGGTTAGCCAAAAGCTACTGCTGTGAGTTTGACTAAAGTTCGCGTGATTGTTTATGCCCCTTAACGATATCAGCAAGGTGTTTTGGTTAATTTGTGGCAAGCAAGTGTGTAATGAGCGTGACCTTATAATGAATTTGTTCAGCAAACGAAAGCCAATACTACCAGAGCAACACACATTCACTTTCTCTTGCGAGACCAGAATAAATGAGCCCAGGTTCTTTCAATTCCAAACCAGGCCAGGCTGACTTGTCACTTTTCCTCCGGCAGATTTGAATTTCCTCTCTCTTTCTGGCAAGACAGTGCATACATGCTTAATGCTTTGCAAATGTCCCCAGAGAGAGAGAGACATAGGTGAAATAATCAAAAGATGGGAACCGTAATACAGGGTTGGATGTCACATAAAAAAAAAGATCCTTCGAAAGCAGATGTAATCCACCCTTTTTTACATGTGAACAGCGTGACAGACGTTGGCTGAAAGTTCCATACCTCGGCCATGCCAGAGAAGACCTGTCATCGCATCAATATTCATTGCTTATTATATTGAGTCATTTGATACATTGTCCACTTTCTCTACGTATTATATATTTCTCAATAATCGTAGCTGACATTTCAAATTCATTGTTTTTGCTTTGACAAACGTAAAAACGGTACACCTACAAAATATTAAGGTTACAATAAAGCATAATCATAAAATATAAAATATGTAAACTGTAATAGAAGCAAATAAAATATGGAGATGTAAGTGCAAGTAAGAATACACTCACGTATATATTGTATTATCTATTTTTTTTAATTTAGTTATATTGTTTTCAGTATTCATTTACAGAAGTTTGTATAACCACTGCTGGACGAGGGGCATCCCACACCGTGCCCCACACATCGGCGTTGTTTGACAATACTTCACCATGCCGGTCAGTGCAGCTTGGCGCAGGGTGTGTGGGGAAGGTACTCCAGACACCAGTTCAGATAGAAACTTGCCACTGATGTCAGCCGTTGCTGGAAATCAAACTCAGGTCACCGGATTCATCGTGCGCCACCACCCCTTACATGAATATTTAAAATTAATAAACAACTTCATGAAGCAAACTCCTCTCCGTTTACTCTAAACAACACCAATAGCACCAAACCTCCTCTCAATTTGCACGCAGAATTTACATATATATTGCGAAAGCCAACAGCAGGCAGGACGACAGCTGGGCAACCAAGGGACGCTTTGCGTCAGCTCCCATGCGCCTTCAAAGTTGTTTAACTCTATTGTGTAATTTAATTTCTCAGCGTTGTGCATTACACCTGTATTGACCCCCTGCTCCGTTGTCAACTTGTCCACCGAGGTCACCCTTGCAAAAGGCACGTGACGTCTCTATGGGTTCATCCCCGGGCGGAATATCCGGCCGTTGGTGCCGCGATGGTGAGGGCAGGCAATGCGGGCAGGCGTCTGTGAAGGCGATCACAACCGGTACCTGCTTTGCCTCCCGGAGTCTTGGACACAATCTTCGTGTGCTGGGAATACTGGAATGTGTTGACTTCTTCTGTAAGTACAGCACAACGGACACAACCGAGCGACGACCACAATGCACCACGCAAATGCATACTCCATGGCATGAGGGCTATTAGCATCAACTGCACTACCGGCAGGCAAATACCGCTGCTTACTCGCATCCTCGCAATGTTTCGTGCTGTAAATTTTATTGTCATCATTATATACGGAAGAGGAGAGGGGGGGGGGGGGAAGACTAAACTGTAAATTTTGAAAATGGTCTGGGTATTGGTGGATTTAATTTGGTTGTTACACTCAAATACATCAACTCATATAACAATGACTTCTCTATTATAATTGTAAGCCAATTCTAGCATAAACATAAGTAATAAGGGGGAGGGGGAGCACTCACTGAACACATTAAGAGGAAAGGCTGAATAAGTGCGTATATTAACAAATGCATTTTAGTTCCAATGTTAATTCCAGCCAACACGTTTTTATGCTGCACATTATGTTTTATTTAAGAGAACAATGTCCTCCGACACTTTATTTAAAGTCTGGAAGGACGCATTTATAACAGCAGTATTTTCCTAAGCTGCTTTGGGCCAGAAAATAATATTCACATTCATATACATCACAAATTAACATTTAATAGCCAATAAACTTTTGTTCTTGTTCTTTGTGGAAGAAAACATTAGTTTTAAGAGGTCAACAAAAAAGACTCAAGATAATGAAACAGTGAAAAATGTGCCAATTCCAAACAAATGCAAAAACACAATTACCATGCAGTATACACGGTAAAGGTGCAGCCCTGCAATTGCTTGCTCACACCATTTCTTGCAGGAGGGCCTTTCACTCAAGGGAGTTCAACATATAGACCCTCTCAAGGATATTTGGCCTACTCTTTCACACTGTTCAGACATTCATCTTGATTTGAAGCTTTCGTAACTGCAGGAATCCATACTCTTTGGTTCTTTCGGTAAAGTCACGTAGGTATACAATCAAATAAAATACCTAAGTGACTTTACCGAAAGAACCAAAGAGTATACTGTTCAGACATCTCGGAACAAATGGCGGTACCCGCACTTCACCCCACCACATAACCTGCCAGCGAAACGATTGTGGTGTACGCGTTTAACACCTATACTGTTGGTTAGACAGAGGCTGGTGGAGGTGGGGGGGGGGGGCAGAGAATTAAACTGGCGACTTCTGGATTCCATTTCAAATCCAGTGTGCTAAACCATGACACCATGGCAGCAACCCACCTTACTGTGTAATCAACATCGAATGTGTTTCGTCAACTTCACGGGAAGCCTCACGCCTAGTAGACTATTTTGGTGCCACGTGAGAGGTCCCGTTGAGCTCAATTGTAATCCGATTTCATCGTAGTGTGAACACTGGATGGTCATGTAGCCTTCCCTTGGCCACATCCGTCGGGAAGCATGAACAGCCTTTATTGAGTTGCCTTTCGAAAGGGCCGGCTCCCCTGAAGTGCCCGGGTACCAGATGTGAAGTCCGTTCAATTTTACATGAGCTGTCACGGCCGTGCGGAATACGGCTCTCATGTTTAGATCATTCTATATTTTTGCACGTTGCCACACTTATTTATTTCTTTACACACACGCTCACTTATTTTCGCTGCATGATGTCTGGCACAGGGTCATTAAGGGGCAATTTGGTGTGACAGTTTTTCATGGACGCTCAAGTACTCGGGGCTATTTAAAAAAAGAAAGGCTGCATGAAGAGGTTAAGACTTCCATTGCCAGAATCAGAGAAATGTGTGGCAGGTCCAATGCTCTATGGGACGGGAGAAGTGGGCAGGCAGGTGTGAGAGGAGAGCTTCGTCATACGTTAATTTGTGATACCGCGTTTCTCTCATCCACAAGTTACAATCTCTCTACAGTGTTTCGGACCGCTTGCTAAGATTCTATTTTACAAAGATTAATAATTCAAAAAAATGTCGGAAAGGCTTCTACCGCTACTGTACCCATTGGCAGCGTTGAATTAAAAATATCAGCTTCCGGTGGGAATACAGGCAGCCACTCTCCCCCCTTAACACGTCTACAGCCAGTGCAAGAGCGAAACAAACGCGCAAAGCTTTGTAACGAGAAGGCTTTGACGACCAATATCACCGGCGAAACTTCGTACACAAATTGTAAATGTCATTGGGTTCCCTCTCCAACACACCTGCATGCTGAAGTGGGAACTAATTGCCACTTTTGGTCACGTGACAGACGTTTCTAATTGGCTGCGTCGGGTGGCGGTGGGTTAACGACGCATTTATATGTAAGCGATCTAAAACCTTTATTGTGGACAAATCTCCTTACAACACACACTGAGAAACGTCGACATACATCTAAGACTAAACCAGCCTCGGTTTTTTTTAAATCAATGCACCAACTCGATACAGAGGAAGTGGAAACACGAGCAAAGCCTCCCCTCCCCTCCCCATTAGTAGAGCAACTCTTTGAACTGCCAAGAGACCAGCGAAAGACATGCGTAGGATGTAGGATAACGGAAGCGGCGTGCGTGTGCGCGTGTTTTATTTGACTCATTACTCACACTAGGTACGGCTTGATTGCCGCAGGTGAATCCGGTACGTTGTATTCAATCTCGTGGTGGCATACATAATTGGCCGTTCCGAAGTCTCGTCCAGTGTGGTGACTAACACGGCCACCGCGTTTCCTGCCACCATCAAAGTCAACATGACCACCTGTAATTGGGGCCTGCTGGTGTCAACTTGGCACAATGGCCATCCCTCTAGGAGAGGTGCATTATGGCCGGGTTTTTTTGCTTTGACAAACATTAACCACAATGCCACAAACACCCGCCTGTGTAATCTATCTTTGAGGATGCTATTGTTTTGGATGCTTTTGTTCTTTGCTATAAAAAAAGCCCCCACACGATTTTCCCTCGCTTTGTACGCAACATATAAAACGACAATTTGGGGTAGTTATTTGCAGTTGTGGTTCTATGGCAAATATGTTCCACTTTACATGATAGTATTTTATATGTGAGTCTGGATGGTGTTTTGGTTTTAATATATTATCCAATTTTAACTCTATTGTCACGTTACATTTCGCTCTTGTGTGTCCGCCACAGAGGCCTGTCTGTGTGCTATGCAATGCTTCTTACGTAGTTATTCGATGCAAATTAATTGGTCTTTTACAGCATCTATGTATGTTGAACTTCCTTCACACCTTACGTCGCCAACCGTGATAATTGGAGGTCTAGCAATGCACCTCGTATCAGACGGTATATACATCTAAAATCATCATTGTTGTCCGAATTTTGTTTTTTTAGCTTGGACCGTGCATCGTCCGGCATGATGTCGGACGTTTCGTTCCACGTGATGGGAGTTCAGTCTCTGAGGAAGCTTCCCCCAGCACGCGGAGAAGGAAAATGTCGGCCATCGTGACAGAAAACACAACGGAGAGCTGTATAGCGCAACCTGCAGAAAACCTACACGTCAGGTATCAAACTCTCATGAATATGCTCACAGCAAACACGCATGCCGGATGGGAAGGCCTGCACTGAGAAACCTGCAAGTGACCAGGAACCTAACAGGCAAATGCATATTTAATTTGGCCAAGGATTAAGTTTGAGCAATGAACCCCGAGAAAGAGCAGCGCTGTTTGGGTTTTATGCAAAAAAAAATATAATAAACGCACGCTCTTGATGTCCTGGGCATTTTTCTCCACTTTGCATACAGCTGAAGAAGAACTTCTCCGACGCACAATTGGTTCACGTTGAATTGATTATAGCTTCATCTTCAAATGTCTCCTTCATGCACAATTCATCCATCTCCTTCTCAGAGCCCAGCCTTCCCAACCCCTCCTCCGCCCCCCCCACCACCCCCCTCTCGATGGCATCAGAACCCTAACAACTAAGTATCTGGAAGAGTAAAACATGCTCCCGATAGGTTCTATGCATTTGAAATGAGACTGGCAATACAAATAAACGTGCTTTGTTTTGTCGCACTGCATTTCAATGAATCCGCTAAAGCGAAAACCATACCTGCGAGTAAGTGTTTAAATGGATGTCTGCTGTGTACGGCCAATTGGGGAGCTTCAACAAACAGGACAAAAAAATAAACATTTGCCACCAAGAGACCTAACACTTCCTACCAATGGGACCTTTGCTTCCTCTGAAGATGCAGAACATTCATTACAGAATTCGTACACTTTGGAACTTTCCAAAGCTTCCCCTTAAGGGGCATAGCACATTGCACATTTCTCTTTTGAGAAGCAAAAATAACAAACAAAAAACATACCCAAAGGTGTTTTGCCTCAGAAGCCTCGTCTCAAGCTTGCTATCCATACAAAGCAGCCGTGTACTGTGGTGTGTGTGTAACTCAAGTGTGCCTCGTTCTTTATTGGGTCAATTTTTTTTTTATGATGTGCTTGTGATCAACAAGTCAGTGCGCAAGGCTTCTCGAAAGCAAATGTGTCTCCAACTAAAATGCAAACGTTTTGATGACGGCTACAGGCGGTGCAAATCTAGGACATCAAACTTGACGAGAAGGCATTGAATTCACTCCGTGACCCTTGCTAGATTCACGAAAGCGCACAACCATGTAGCGCACACCGGTGAGATGCAATGGAGAGCACATTGGACTTACAATCCAGTATTATTATTTTTATTCACTATATTTTTATTATTTTATTGTTATTTTTGTTTTCATCTACGTGACTTTACCGAAAGAACCATAGAATACAATCCAGTAGTAAACCTTGCGGCTCATTCCGGGCTCACTGTGCCGGCAGTTGAAACAATGTGGGGCAAAGTTTCTCAAATCCCCGCGTGTGTCTCTGTCCACCCAGCAGCGAGAAACGGTTAGACCACAGATCGTCGACGGGCAGAATCGCACGTGGCGGGGGTAAAGTGTGGGTACTGCCACCTATTCTGAGACATTCTGGGCCAGCGGGGGAAGAGTAGGCCAAATACCGTGTGCGGGAGCCCTCCAGAGGTCCCTTGAGTTGAGGCCCTTCTACCAGCAGTTGCATGAGGAAAAAAAATTGCAGGAATATATACGGCACGCTACTAAAAATG